GAGTATAACGCATTTTGTCGAAAATCAGCGATAGGACGTCAGTTGTCTAGTACATATGTTGCTATTAGAGGTCACTGGTCATACCAGGTCAGGTCACAGGTCAGGTCACCAGAGGTCACCAAGGGTCACCACATGAACCCAACTTTACTAAGGTTGTGCGATGCATGTTTTATGGCCAGTTTTTCATTTCCAACTCAATGGTGTTGGTTATAAGACCATCAGGTACGGTTTAGGTCACTTTCTGGTGGAGGTCAGGTCAAGGTCAGGTAAAAAAGGTCAAATTTCAAAGTTGATATTTTTGCATAAAATGGGTATTGATTCGATGCAGCTCGTCACGGGGAGTCTAATGGTGGTCTTTGTTTTGCGCTACGAGGTCTAGAATTGCTAAAAATTGAGTATGGAAATTTGACGTCATCAATTTTGAACAGTTTCTTCGCTATAACTTGGCCAAAAAAAAAGAGGTATCAATCTCAAATTTGGTATGTAGATAGAAGGTGGTAGGGACTATCACATATCTTCCGGTTTTTCGAAATTCAATTTTTTTTTGGATTTTTCGGCTATTATATTCAAAAAATCTATTTTTTATTTTTGGGGGACCAAATCCAAAAATTTCAAAAATCCGAGATAGCAGTTTTGTAGCCCTCCAAAGTCTACACCTTTTATGTCTGAAACATTTTTCTGTATCTCTAAAGCTGTAGGCCTGACCGCTCTTCTCGCGAAACCTTTTTTTGGGTCGAAAATGGCAGAAATGACGTCACTTTGACGTCATTAGCGTCCAACCTATCATAGCCTTTGGAAAATTTTAGGTCACAATGTGCAATAGCTGTTCAAGGAAGGGTACCGAAAGTTTGGTGACGATCGGTTCAGCGGTTCTCGAGATATATAAAAAAAACTAAGGGGGGGGGGCAAAAAATGCCCCCCCCCCCGCCTGGAAGGTTAGGGGTGTGCAGACGACGAAGAATGAATCGTTCCCTCCCACCGCCGCTATTTGGTCCTGTTCGTCCTGACGTATATTATGACCTGCCCCGCTAGTTGTTTACTCTAGAGTTGAGTTCAAGCATTGCAAATTCGTCACAGCTCGGTGGCGTCCGACCGTTTAAGATGTTGGCCACATTAAACGGTTTTTAATCATGAGAAAACCAAAAGGCGCAAGCACCCGTACGCTAACCAATCTCTTTCAATGGCTGCGGTAGGCGGTAGGCACGGGCGCCTGCAGCTGTTCACGGGCAGTAATAACGCCTCCAATAAGAAATATCGTAAGCTGAGCTGCTCCGTGCCAATGAATCCCCGGCGGTCGTTCAATGCGTGTGAATTACGGAGGCGACTCGCCCTAAAGTCTCAATTACCATAGCTGAGTCCAGCTCATGAGCTGCAGACCTGGGGCAGAAATCGGCTATGGTAATTGTGCTGGGTAATCCACGTTCTGCGGGACGTGCACCGGCCCTCCGAGCCCATATCATTGTCTGCAAATGGTTTAACACCCCCGAGTCCCGGAACGCGCGTTCCTTTCCATATCAATGCGCCATCCGACTCCGAGTGAAACCCAGCCGTGGCCGTGGGCAGTAGGTCTGTTGGTTAATGTCCCACCGTTTAGCGATGATTGAGATGCACGGCGTGAGTACAAAGTATGATGAGCTGAGAGGGCGGATTCACAGGCCGACTGTTACTGTTAGAAATTGCCGAGTCTGCTCTGCATGCAATGGTGATAGCCGAGAGGTACCACGTCCCGGACGAGGTCTGCTTGAAAGCGAGATGTGTTTTAACGAGAGAACGACTCTGCTAAACACAAAACTACAGAACAAAACATCAAACCAGTAGGTGTCGAACATATTTCGTAGGTTGCCGCGTTTCACGCTTGCTCTGTATTTGACATTGACACAGCATTTATATTCAATGACATAAGTTAAATGACACAAATAGCCTTAATAGATGAGAGCATTCACATAAATGCACCCTGGCCACTATCCGTGGAAGCACTCTTATGGATGCTTGCTGCGCTATACCCTATAGGTAAATACCTATCTGGTATTTACCTATTACCTATAGGTGGCATACCTATCTGGCACATAAATGCGATTCTCAATCACTCTACGCATCTGAGTAATGGCCAGTGAATACATTATTGTGCGCACACTTCAGGTTCCAATACTCCGTGAATATTTTACCGCTGGATGACATCGCCATCAGACACGGCCATACACGGCTCGGCTACTAAATCCGGTGAGATAGATGTAATGACAACGTCTCAGCCGAGTGACCACCAGTCACGTGACTGTGCGGCAGTGGACCGCCGGAGGTCACGTGACTGCGCGGTGGGAGGCCAGGTCATTGGGTCAGCAGTGCGTGGAGCAGCATGTCGCACCTCGGCGGCCCTGTGGAGGTTTTCACTCACCGACCGGTTCGGCGGCCTTTCGCCTGGCTCAGCAGGGCACAAACCGAACTGGGTCCGCCGCCAGGCGGGGTCACGGCTGAGGAGGCTGATGGAGATCGTTTTGTCTGTTTCTAGCCTCGCTGACCATTCTGAGTCCCGACCATTTAACTCCGACCCTCCGGGCCGGCGGCAAGTCTCCCGTGGTGTGCTGGGCCCCATTACTCTCGACACAATGCCCGAAATTGTGTCACCGCCCGGACGCCGGCAGCGCGAGAAATGCGCGAGACGGCGGCACCTCTCGCGAGTCACGTGTAAAACTCTGCCGGGTGTCCTCACATCGTTTATCAGGCCCGGCCTGTGCTCCAGTGCTGCTTTATGCTTAGGTACACCTCATCCAGCCCATGGCAACCGCACTGACTGTCGAGCATCAACCATAGATAACAATATTTGATCGGTTGACGGTTGATCGGTTATACACACAATCTGTTTAAGGTACGCACAATACCTAATAACGTCATGACTTAAAAACGTAATTGGTAGGATGGTGTTCTACAGTTTTGCTGGTTTGAAACGTTATTTTGGGCATTGCTATTTAATCATGACTACAAGTACCTAGGTATGAATGATGACCATGTGCTAATGCATAAAAACGGCCGAATAACAAAATCCAATATTGTTGTTGCTTTCCAAAAGCAAAACACAATTTCTAAAACAAAAAGTTTTGTTTTCCGGCCATTTTTAGACGATGAGCACAAGGTTATCATTAGGTTTTCGTTATCAGAATGGTAGGTATACTTACGGTCTTATAAAACAATAAACTAACACAACGATGACAAGCCCGAAGTCGAATCATGGACCATCGGAGGCCGAATTCACCAGATAACCCGTTTCGATTCTCGACCGGACCGTAACTGCCCCGTGCCGAATTCGGAACTCCAGGGTCACCGACCCGCAGGAAATGACTGGATAATCTCGACAACAAATGCAGCAATGGCAGTATCGAAAGGAGCGCCTGGGACCGGTCACGCAACACTGAGCTCAAGAATCGTCTGACAATTGTTAAATGACGGTGCGCCTGAACTGCACGAGCTTGAAAATGCACATATTCACTCGCCTCTGTGTAAAGTCACCTATAAAGCTTAGCAATGTCACACTACACACACTTGACCGTCCTTACATTGGTCCCGAGTCTTCAACCGATAAATAATTCGTAAGTCAGAGCTTTTAACGCATTTCCAATAACGACAACGTTTTGGAAGCGTTGAAGAAAACTAAGTATAGCTCATAATCAAGCAATGGAGGCTTTGCTATAGCCGTAGTTTTATCATCCCACATGAAAAGTTATGCGTATATCTAACCGCGAGAAAATAGAGCAACTTGATATTTTTACGTATGAGCGGTTTATTTATGTTTCATTCTGTACCGTACCTAGTTCCTGAGCATGTAGCCGATTAACTATACTTACCTCGCCTTTTTAATAAATTATGTTTTGTTACGAGTGTAAGGCTTTGCAGTCTCAATGTCCAGATATAATTTGTGCGTCTTGCAACACCTATAAGTAATGTAACTTTTAGTTGATGGAATAATTATTCATTTTTGTAGGCATAGATCGAATGGGTGGAATTATCATTCATCAATAATTGAAACCGCTTTAATGACGCCTAACACATTGCTGAACGTCTATTAGACGTTCAAACATCTTGTGCTCGTTAAACATAATTCTTAGTATCACTCGATAATTTTCATTTATGGCACGCAATAGTAACAAATTTTGATAGACCCTTCATAGGTATAACGTGAATAATGAACACGGCTTTTGGTTCGTGACGATTTGTCAATAATTCAGCCACATGATAGAACCAAAGAAGCAAATTGTATCTGAAGTGCGGTCATCAATGAGTTAAACCCATGGGTTTACATAATCAATACAGATTTACAATACAGATTGCAATACAGACAATCTGTATACATATTGCAATACAGATTACAATACAGTTGCAATCATGCATGATTGCAACTATGTACAAACCACGTACAAACGTCTAACTATATCGTCAAATAATATAAATATATATTATTATATCATTGATTATATTATTATATAACTGCATTATATTATTATGTAAATGTCTACCTTGTGTAAAATGTCTACTGCACTTGAAACAACCTATTGCACGTCTGGAGCCGTATACCTACCTAACTGTTGAGCCAGTCCGCATGTACTCTAAGCAAGGGGAATCAAACGTTCGATCTCAACGCGTATTAAACCTGAAAAAAACCTATTACACTATTCGAATCAGGGTAACACTTATTTTTGTTTTAGGTACTTGGAGGATACTGGCTAGCTATAACGGTAATATACCTAATTTCAAGATGACAGGCACATTGCGTCGGCATGGGTACACAAATTGGACCGTTTCTTTGATGGAACATTTCTTTTTATAACGCCGAACATCCCGACCGTTACAACGTTTAGATTTACTCTAACGAACCATGATTCCTCTTTCGTGGCAAACGGCGCTATAAACAGATTTGGTTGGCATGTTGTCGCGAATGGGGCTTGTGCTGCTTCCCGTACCGCGGATTCGAGCCCGCACCTGAGCTGAATGTGTCCAGTGCTGTGTTGCAGCGTCGTCAGTGGTGCTGGCGCTGGTGCTGGTGCTGGTGGCTGGGTCTGAGAGCAGGACCCCCCTCCGCAGCCGACGAGTCGCGCCCCATGCCGACAGGTGAGCCCAACCCACTCCCGTGACACTTTCACTGTCCTCTCGAGAACCAGTGGGGTGCTCTACAAGCGAGGGGAAACCCTGTGCTGAGTACGGCCGAAATCAGTCCGATCTGGGCCACCTCCCGCCGGGATGGGACCGTTCGCCGGCGTGAGGTGGCGCGCCGCTGCGCCGTTTTTGCCGCGTCATCAGCGGCTCGCACGTGCGCGCCAGCCGGCTAGTTGTCGCCGCCGCGCTGTGGGTGCGAGCAGGTGACCTGGTCGGGTGGCACGTTTTGGGGCGGTCGGTCTCAAAACGTGCTCAGCTGACTGGTCGGTTATATAAGAAAGCCGGCCTGCGGGACAGCCTGCCGAATAACAGTGCATACCAAACGCGTAGCCGTAACAACTATGCTAAGTTTATAGGTAACGGTAACACCTCTGACATTTCTGTCCTCATCCGCGCGGTCTGTCTCGTTGCAGGCCGGCGGGGCGGAGCTCGGACGGGGCGGAGCCACCGCCGTTGTTCCGCTACTACGTGCTGGACCGGCGCGGGGCCGTGGAGCGGACCTTCCTCTCGCCGCAGCCGCTGTCGGGCCCGCCGCCGGCAGCCGGGCCTCTGCCCCAGATGGACAGCGTGGTGGCCACCATCGGCACTATCGTCAACGCAGAGGTGGCCTCGATGGGCGGCCGGGACCAGAGCACCGTGGCGCCGCGGGTCGTTAGCTACCAAGCGGAGGAAGTGGAAAAGGTGGAGCCACAGTCGCCGCCAGACAGTGAAGAGGCGCCACAGTTGCCGACAGGCGGTGAGACGGAATATATCCCCCAGATCGACAGTGCGGTAACCGACAGAGAGTCGATGTTCAACTCTGAACAGGAGTTAGTTGACGTGGAAGATTATAGTGAAAATGATCAGCAGGGGAGCAGTGACGCGGGCGATGAAAGCTATGCTGAGCCTGAATCGATCGAAACACCGTCAGTGCTGCCCTCTACCGCACAACAGACACACCACACTCGGCCGAGTGTGCCTTACATCTCCCCGTCGGTGATGTCGTCAGTTCTGACTCCGGAGGAGATCGAGCTGCTCTCTCAGCTGAATGTGGCGCTGCTCTCAGACCCCGAGGTTGCCATGACGACCGAGGTGCCGCTGGGTGAAGTCGCCTACATGCAAACGGAACGGACCACACCGTCCAAAGTTCACTACTTCGTACCTGCGTCGCCGACCCCTCATGGCGAACAGAGCGACTCGCAGTTCGGCCCAGTACCGACAGAGGCGCTAGAGGGTCGCGTGAGCAGCCAAGGAGAGCCTATCTCGGCGATTGACGAGGATCCGACCCCGCCGCGGCGCCGGCCGGCCCACAGAGCGCCGGTGCGGTCCCCGACGATGGACGGTATCACGGGCGGCGGCCTGCGTCCGTACACAGCCGAGGAGCTGGCCGCCCTGGAGGCCGCCTACCTGGAGGAGGAGGAGGCGGAGGAGCCGCTGCCGCTGCACCCGGTGGTGGACAGCGTGTTCTCGCCGTACCTCTCCCACTCGATCGCCTCCCGGTTCATCCCGGACGCCATCGGAGCCGGCCACGGCCACGGAATGGCTCACAGTGCGGGTTCCGGAGCGAATGGGGGACAGGGACAGGGAGAGAGGGTTCCTCCCGGCCACGAGACCCGGCCCCTGATCGTGAACAGAGAGACCATCAGTGCCGATCAGATCAAGGCCATGGAGAACTTGGTGGAACTTCTGTCAACTCCCGTCAAGTCGCAGGAGACGACCTCAACCATCGACACAGCTCCAGTGACAGTTCAGCAGAGCGCTTCTGAGACCGTCGACGCCAGCGGAGCCGTTCCTTCCGACATACAGTCCAGCGAGCAGACGAGTCTGGAGGAGGACGACCTGCTCATGGTGCTTGGTGAGGCAACCAGCAAAGGAGGGAGTGTCGGGTCCAAAACGGCACCCGCAGCGACACCCTCAGCGAAACCGACAGCACCTGCAGCGTCTCCTGCGTCGGGCGGCGCTGCGGACACTGAGCTGGAGGACGGCAGCGGGTCCGGCGCCGAGTCGCCCGCCGTGCGACCCACCTTCACCCTGTCCAGTCTGTTCCGACCCGGGGCGCTGGGAGCCGGGGGATTCCTCTCCTTCTCCGGCGAGGTCGGCTCGTCGGAGGACGGCTCCGGAGAGGCTCCTGACGAGGACGAGGGGGTCTCAGAGCTTCCTCACATTCTGCTGGATACGGAGGACCTCTCCTCGCGGGTGCGGCCCCTGACCGTGGGCTATGAGGAGACGCCGGAGCTGAACTTCAGCAACGAAATCCAACATCACGAAGGTCACCATGATGAGAAGTTTGAGGCCGAACATAGGCAAGATCACGACGAAGGAGATCACAAAGTGCACGATACAAGCTACTATATCAGTGCCGAGAATAAGAAGCATCATGAGCATCACCACGAAGGCGCCGATCACGAGTCCCACTCCGGCGACCACGCGCAAGGTCACGGCGACCACGAGGGTCACCATCAGGGTCATGAGGGTCATCATGGAGATCACGGAGATCACCACGGAGATCACAAAGAACACCACGGCGATCATCACGGTGACAACGGCGCCGGAAACGGTATAGGTGGCGCCACCTTACGGTCGCCGCCAGAGGGCAGCCTGGGTCTGGAGGACACCCTTCTGGACGTGGACCAGAGCACCGACACGTTTGTGGAAAACATCAACCGACTCGGGCTGTCGCTCTACCGCCGCCTGGCGCCCGACTACCCCAAACAGAACATGGTGTTCTCGCCGCTGGGTGTGAGCAGCAGTCTGGCGCAGCTGTTCCTCGGGGCGCGCGGCGACACGGCCCACCAGCTGGACAGGCTGCTGCAGCTGGACACCATGACCAGCTTCAACCCGCACGTGGGCTTCTTCAAGTTCCTCCGCTACATGAACCAGGCCGGCGAGCACGCCCAGTCGGCCGTCTGTAACGCTCTGCTTACACATACGGTGGGTAACTGTAACCGAAAACGGGTCACGGGTAGAGTCCAGCTCCGCGTCCTCGTATTTTATTCGGTGCACATCTGACATCATTTAGGTGTCCATTTTCGACATTGCTTGACTGAGCCCCATAATTAGCAACGGGCATGGTGTAAAACATGTGGGTTTTATATGAGACCTTTATACCTACCTTTATGTATGTGACTTAAAATATGTAAATTTATTCAATGTTACATTTAACTAAATGAACGTAGTTATTAAGATATCTAATAACCATCTTAAAATGTCGTTTATTGTTGTCGCAGGAGCAGGGTGACATGTTCAGCGGCTACGAATTCCTGCTGTCTCGCTTCTACCAGCCTGTCATCGACAAAAATGTGAGTACCGTGAATGTGTATACTGCCTACCATCCTACCCCGGTACTTAGTTTCATGGCCGGGCAATGTCCTTCACGTGCACTGTCACACAGTATTGCTTCATCACAAAGTATTTGCTCCGCTGAACGAGGGTCGATTAGTTCACATGAGATCAGATGATTTCTGACTGATTACAAAGCGATGCCGATAAGGTGACCGTCTCTCCTCTCTGTCTTCAAGCTATCCCGGTCATGCCGATCTGAGACTTCTCCGTTAACATGAGCGTATGTGACCCTTTCCAGGCGGACCTGAAGTTGGCTCCGGGAACTGCCATCCAGAAAAGCATCAATAGCTGCGTCAGCAGATCGACCGGCGGCCTGGTCAGCGACTTCATCCGGCGTCCCGAGAGCCTGCCGCCCGTGGAGCCCTCTCTGGTCACCGCCTCCGGCACCTTCTTCAACGTGAGCTATGGCGAGACATCTGTCGAATCTCCGATGGAAAAAAGTAGAGACGTAAAGAGCAGATGGACAAATATCGAATTTTGATTCTCGAGCATACTGCACAATCAAGGTTAATATATTAATATATCGGTAGAACTAACATTTTGCAGGATTTGTTTAGATACACCAGTTAGTCTGTCTACATACACTGCCGTCATAAAAGACAATCTAAGGTCTCTCCCTGACCCGTTGCCCTGTCTCCACCTGCAGGCGACGCTGGCGCCCTCTCTGGACGTCCGGCTGGTGGACACGACTTTCCTGCGGTTCCCGTCGGCGCTGCGGCGTGTGCTGGCCACGGCCGGTGTGCGCGTGCGCGGCTCCCTGCCGGCCGGCTACAGCGCGGAGCTGGACTGCACGGTGGCCGCGCTGCCCTACTCGGACGGACAGCTGCAGCTGGTGCTGCTGCTGCCAGGCACCGCCGGACGATTCAACGCCGACGGCCTCTCGCAGCTGGAGTCGCGCCTGTCGCCGGCCGCCTGGCACCGCCTGATGCGCTCCGCCACCCCCCAGCAGCTGGAGGTCACCGTGCCCATCATCTCGCACCGGACCGAGGCCGAGCTGCGCCCGCTGCTCGGTCAGCTCGGGGTGCGCGCCGCGCTGACCGAGGGCAGCGCCGACTTCTCCGGCGTGAACGGACTGAGAGACCTGCGGCTGGGCGGCGTGCTGCAGGCGACAGAGTTTCACCTCGGGGACGGCAGTGTGCTGCACGCAGGACACGCCGGACATGGAGACCATGGCGGACACGGGGACCATGGCGGGCACGGGGACCATGGCGGACATGGCGGACACGGGGACCATGGCGGGCACGGGGACCATGGTGGGCATGGGGACCACGGAACACACGGGGACCATGGCGGGCATGGGGAGCATGGCGGGCATGGGGACCATGGCGGGCATGGGGACCATGGAGCTCACGGAGACCACGGGGAGCACGGAACTCACGGGGGCCATGGAGCCCACGGGGACCACGGAGATCATGGAGACTACGGAGACCACGGAGATCACGGTGATCACGCAGCGCACAACGATCATGCAAACCATGCGGACCACGACGGACAAAGTCACGCGAACCGCCTGGACCACGGCGCACACGGCGCGGGCTCGGAGGACGACCTGGAGTTCCCCACGCTGCCGTCGCCGCTGTTCTCGGACCGCGCGGGACGCTCGCGGTGGGCCGTGGGCCCCGAGCGGCTGCCCTGGGAGCAGCACGGCGCCCGGCCCGCGCAGCAGCCCCTGCCGCCCGGTACCCCTCTCGTCAGGGTCAACTTCGAGCGGGCGTTCCTGTACGCAGTACGCCACGAGGCCACGGGGGCGATCCTCCTCATGGGGCGATACTTGGACCCACACAGTTTTGCATGAGGGCATGGCCCGTGTGGTCAAGTCAGGTCAGGTCATGTTAGGTCAGCAGTGTCTACGCGGTCTGGTCAGGTCAGAGGCTGGGTCACGTCAGGTTTCAGGCTGAATGGGTCGACACAGCATTAGTTCTGAAAGACAATTAATCCGTCCAGATGGCGGTGCAGGGTCCGATGGACCTGACATCTGATGGGCTGCAACAAAGCCAGACTCTCCCACATCAGAAGTCCGGACCAATTGCACCGTCTCATGGTCTGGGACGGTTCCGAACTCGGGAGACACGAGCGGGTGCCTTTTTGCCCCTGAAACATTAAAAAATGTTTCACCGAGTTAATTCCCTGTGAATCAGAGGAAAAAGGACGACTGAGCATCGCCATCTTGCGGCCAACGGAAGCTAAAGAGCGGCCAACGCCCAAACCCGCGCCATGGATCGGAATGCAAGAGCACATCAACAGACTAAAAGCTGCAGCACCCTTTCACACAGCCTGTCGTACCTTCGTCATTGTTTCACTGGGATCCATTAGTTGGTTATGTGGCGTGATGATGCAATTTTCATGTAGGGGAGAGTGGGGCAAAGCGGCCACCCTAACGCTTCTCACGATGCCAACGCTTGATTTTTAAACTTGGAAAGATTCTTTCTATACCAATGTAATCCCTATTAAGTTGCCTTTTATTTCAACTGCGTTTTATTTCCAAAGGCGTTCACATATGAAAGATATTGACAAAACTTTAAACCTATGCATATTGGCCACTTTGCCCCATACCCTGGGGCAAAGCGGCCACCGGCGTCTTCTCAAGCCCCGATATGAGGAACAAAATAGTTGCCTCGTGTACGACTAGGGTATTTGATGGTGACAAGGTTAAGCGAGGATGGATGTTTACTTTATCATCTTCCACCTGTAGGTAAACAAAGAAAGGAGTTTCATGGAAATAAACATTTAATTGCATTATTTGGTAACTCATGCAACTGAAAAGTGGCCAAGATGAATGCATGACGACACATTTGAATATAAATAATGTTTTTTATCCAGATGGAAGCAACTTATGGCCAATTGGGGAGTGGCCACTTTGCCCCGGCCACTTTGCCCCGCGCATACCGTCAGAGACAAAAATATTCCAGCTTAGTTATTAGTGGGGTAAAAACATTAAAATTGGTAGAATACATGTACGATAACCATGCAATGCATGGACAAGAACGCTTATAAAAATTCCAAACGGTTATGGAATAACATAACATTTAAAAATTGTAAACATAGTTGGTAACCTGGCAAGAAATGCTTTTCCGTGTTTCACAGAACAATGCTGATGGGCCTGAAACCCCGGTCTGGCTCATTCGAACGACCGTGGAGAGAAGTATAATTGGAAACCATAAATTGGAACTGACGCCAGCTATGAAGGGCTAAAACGATGGATGGCCGCTTTGCCCCGGGTGGCCGCTTTGCCCCACTCTCCCCTAGTCTATTTGTCGGACCTGTTCACCAGACCGCAGTTTTACCCTGAGTCGAGGGGGGCTCCGGTATGACTGTCGTCCGTTCAGATGTTACATTTTTGTTATGATGGTAATGTGCGTTTGTTTATTGTTATTTGATGCTATAAAGTATGAGATATGTTAGCTACGAGAATGAACCGAGGAACAAGACATTCAACAACGTAAGAAGCATCGCTTCACTGGGCGAAATATGGGCATGTTGTCGATGATTATAAGTTACAAACACTGTCAGTGAAGGCCGAAACACCGACCAGTTGGAATTGAAGTATCTGGCCTAGGAGGCATGTTTGAATTTTAATAGCTGGCACGTCAAGGTGGATTAATGTTGAAAACGCTGTTTTGTACATTGTTGTTGCTAATCAATACACATTATTTGTAAGAATGACCTTCGATTATGGTCATCTGTCGGTAACGCATCGTCATGCTATAGGATCCGGCAACACCCGATGTAAATCTATGTATATCAGTGCAGCGTTCAGCCACTGTTGCAGTGACCAACAGCGACACATCGATTCCGATTGATTTGTCAGAGGCAGACATCAGCCTCGGAACAGCATACCAATGCAATAGAAGCCCCAGCCCCACCCCCTCCCGCGATAGTGAGAGCAGCAACAGCAGCGCCCCCCGCGTTCAGTGACCATTAGACCGAGCACCGACCTGGGCCAAGGCCAAGATGCTCCAAAGGAACAACGTCCTCCGGGCCATCAGCGGCACGACGTGGGGCTGCTCACCGTCTGATCTGCGCAGCACATACCTCGCCTTCTCTCGCGCCTGCGCCGACTACGCCGCCGGCGCTTGGATGCCCGGCCTCAGCGAGTCTGGCCTGAGGGAGCTGGAAACGGTGCAAAGACAGGCGTGCAGGACAATCACCGGATGTGTCAGATCTACACCAGTGGACGCCCTGGCCAGAGAGGCGGATCTCCTGCCTTTCTCGGCGCGGCGGAGGCAGTTGGCGGCTGTGGCGATGGAGCGCCACTCCCGGGACCTACCAGGCGACCCTGTGCAGCGGATCCTCCTCCCTGAGAACCGCCCCCGGCAACGTCTGCGCTATGACAGAGGATGGGCACGGACGGGCCAAGGGATATCCAAAGACGCCGGCCTAGACGACTTCCCACGCGAACCGTTCCTGGTGGTTGCCAGCACCCCTCCCTGGGAGTCACCGCCACCTCCAACGGTCCTCTTCCACACTGGACTTGTGAGGCCGCTACCGCAAAACGCCCCCGCCGAACAGCGACGGACTGCCGCCGAGGAGACGCTAGCCGGACTGCCGAACCCGGACGTCCAGGCTTTCACGGACGACTCGGCCACAGCCGGCACAGAACGAGGCGGAGCAGGGGCAGTCGTCTATAGGAGCGGCAGGGAAGTGAAGAGGATCCGAGCGCCAGCGGGGCGCTTCACGTCGAGCTACACAGCGGAGCTTCTCGCTCTACGAGAGACACTCAAATACATCGAGTCCATCCTCACCGATCAAGACCCTGCACTCAACATCCAGCTGTGCACCGACTCCCTATCATCCCTCATGCGTCTGAGGGAAGGCCCGGCCAACCAGACTGAACGGGTCGCTGACCAAATCTGGCTATCCCTCCGGCGACTAGGACGACGCCACCGCGTGGACCTTCAGTGGGTTCCCGGTCACGCGGGAGTCGCCGGCAACGAGATCGCCGATGCCGTGGCCAGGGAGGCCGCTGAGCTGCCGCAGGACGGGACACCCATCACCTTCGCGGCGGCCAAGAGCCTGCTGAAGCGTCACGTGAGCAGAGAGTGGGTGGAGAGCACGCGCCACTCCCGACCGGCTCCCGCGACCCGCCCGCACCTAAGCCACGACTACCACGATGTCGTCGGCCCGGGCAGGGTCAGGCTGGCAGACAGGCTCGGCCTGTCTAGGAGAGAGGGCACCGCTCTGGCGCGCCTCCGGACCGGCCACTCTCCTGCCCTGCAAGCTTACCGTCACTTCATCGGGGCGGAGGAGGACGATGGGTGCCCGACCTGCGGCGGCGGAGTCAGGGAGGACGCGGAACACTTCCTGACGTCGTGCCCCGCGACGGCCCGCGTCCGTCACGACGTTTTCGGGAGAGAGGACCCGACGCTGCGGGAGGTCTTCGCTGACCCATGCCGGGTTATCGAGTTCCTGCGGCGCCTGGGCCGACTATAGAGCGCCCACGGCGCTAGACACTCTGGCGGGGTGCTGGGTTCTCCGGCCCTACCCGGCGTCTGAGTCCGCCGGAACCCGCCCGGGGGCCTGCTGCCCTCCCTGCGCGGACGTCGCAGGTGTCGCCCCCGAGGGGGGCTGGGGCCCTCACGGGCCCCCCATGTGGGCCCACCGGGCCCGACGGCCGGAACGACAACAACAACAACAAGCACCGACCTGCGCAAATTTCACGATTGACCATCCTGCAGCGGAAATCGATTGTCCTTCGGTACCAGTTTCGGCCTAAACGGCCTCACGGTCGATCCGCCTCCCGCTCCCCCTAGTGAAAGAGCGGAGGTGGCTCCATGTGTATTTGGCAATATACAGCAATATCCAAACACGCACCGCACACACACGCACAGCGGCAAACGGCCCCAAAAGGAGGACAGAGGGCGAGACAGGCACACCAGTCGATACCGGCTGAGTAGCACTCGTTGAACTCGTTGCACCGTGATGAGAACGCTAGCCTCTTACAGACCGATAATGGTTCATTATGACTCAACTGTCAACTGTGTTGCATTTCAATGACTCGCGCAGCTTTAACACACCGTTCTTTCAGGCCTGTACAATTACATCATTCATTGCACTCAGGTGTAACTGTGAGGTAACGCCCGGAGATCGTTCCACCAGGAGCCGTTTACCCCTCATAGTGACAGACGAATATACCTTAGAAACCACCGCTAACTGAAAAAGCACTCCTCGCCAGACAATCACACCGAAGCAAGAAAAAGGCAGAAAAGGCAGCGCCGCTCTAAGAAAACCCAGCTGTGGGAAAGCAGCAGTCTTAATACTAAGCTATCAGCGCTTCGGGGCTGAACTAACGAGACAGAAGTGCGCCTCTATAACGGGCAACCACGCCAATCCGAGCCCCAAACGCCCAACCAACTGATTCAGGGTTCCTCTTTCAAACAAGGTTTTGTACTTCCTTAGCCGAACACGAAACTGAGACCGCCCTATGCAATGGTGACGCACGGAGAGCAGCGCTCGCGACGCCCGCTCACACCCCGTACCTTCTCACCGCGCGGCACGCTCCACTTACACCTGTCCACCGCGCGGAACGCGGAATACCCCCTCCGCCGACCCGCGCCACATAAACGCGCCCAGGAAAAGCACACCCAAAACGCCGCCACACCCGCATCCAAGACAGCCACCAAACACGCACACACGCATCAACCATGAGCCGCGGGCGCGCGCATAACGAAACCCTCGCACCCGAACAACACTTCAAAAATATACAAAACGCACGTCTTCAGCCGCCGGCTATTTCAGCGAGTCCTCTGTTCCGCGGCGCACACGGCTGGCGGCGCGGGGCCTGAGCGCCCGTGCCACCGCCGCCGGGTCGGGTCGGGTCGGTCTGACGTCGGTCCGGGGTCGGCCAGGGTCGGGACGGGCAGCGGTCGGTCTCAGAGCCGGACCCGGGGTACCCAGGACACCCCACTGGACCCAGGGTACCCTGCTGGACCCAGGATACCCCGCTCGACCCGGGGTTCACCCAGGGTACCCAACTGGTGGACCCCGGGGCACCCCGTGGTACTCAGCTGCACCGGGTACCGCTCACAGCTGCAGCGGCACCACGTCACTGCGGTCCTTGATCCGACCGCCGTCACCCTCGGAGACGAACCGCTTACGTCCCCTGCGCGGGCAGACGGAGAGGAGCACAGGTCAGACGGGCCGAGAACCTCACCAGAACCAGCAGCAGGGCGCCGGACCAAGCGGGTCAGCGACTCTGACGGCTTTAAGATTGTGGGAGTGCCGGTGTTCAAACTTGAAAAAAGAAACAACTCATTACTCGCCAGTAAAGACTAATTTAGCAAACACCTGAGGAGTACAAACCGTACCCCAATATCTACCAAACATTAAAGCTAACGGGCATTTAAATCGATAAAACAATAACACACTCATACCATCGTACCCAAAGTCCCAGGAAAAACACGCCAAGCATAACCCACTTGAGCTGGACAGCCTATGGCTCTGTCCCCAGGGCGCCGGCCGTTGACTGACCTGAGCGGCATCTTGCGGACTGTGTCTGGTGAGATGACCTCGTTCTGGGCGGCCAGCATCACCAGGCTCTCCAGCAGGGCGTAGGCGTTCGGCACGTCCAGCTGGATGTCGGCGATGTTCTCGAAGACGCGCTGGAAGCCCTCGTCCATCTGGTTGATGCTGATGACGCCCGCCTCGGAGAGGACGCGCAGCAGGCGCGACAGCTCCGAGATGGATTTGTCGTCCGAGCGCTCGATGGCCATCGTCACCGCCTCGTAAGCCAGCTCGTGGTGGAAGTGCGGCACCTCCAGCTCACGGACACACCTGGACGACACACGCAGACGGCAGGGCGTTAGACATGGGGACGGCACGGCGCTAGATACGGGTGACAGGGACGCCACGCCATTAGCCACGCGGACGGCACAGCGTTAGCCACGGGGACGGCATGGTGTAAGACACGCGGACGGCAGGGGCGTAAACCATAGGCCACCACGTAGTTCGATCACCAGCCCAGACTGATTGGTGATGCAAAATACAGCCTACAGAAACTCCCTGCAAGCTGCAAGTTCCATTAGTTCCGATACCTATAACAAAAAGTCGAGCAAAAAAAAAAAAAAAAACACTGGTTTCCAAATCGGCTTCTGATTACCGTCAGCTCTGTCCCACCATCACCTATCCACTCCTCCCCGACCATCTTCCTGCGGTACGCGTACCTGATGGCCTCCTCGGAGTCGCCGGACGTGAGGAACTCCTTGAGCAGCATGGTCATCTGCTTGACCAGCAGTCGTACGGGCCGGCGCGGTCCGCCGACGCCCCAGACCGTGTCCAGCCGCATCATGCCGCCCTTCATGTTCATCAGGTGCTCGGCGCGGTCCAGCGCCTGACTGAGAACGAGGCGGATACACAGTCAGCCCAGAGCCTCAGTGGGGGAGGGGGATGGGAGGGGGGGGGGCAAACAACATCCAACCTATCGCGCCAACTTCGGAAGGACACCAATAGTCTATATAATCACTGAGATAAAAAATTAAAGAAATATAATGAACCCAGCTTTTGTTCCACCCAGCAGTACTTTGAAATCGTGTCGCAACCGGAAACAACAGATGCTGCTGCAGTGTAATTATGTGATTTTACAGTAGATGACATGAGCCGATCACGCGGCAGATTATCCGCTGCGGATTCATGCCGGCGGGAGGCGCTATAGGTCATCAGTCGGCCAGTCTGTCAGTCAGTGTGACGCCGCAGAGTTGACCGTTACGCTGCCAGCGGCGGCACCGAGCGACCTTGGCCACTCATACGTCAGGGGACGGACTGCGCCATACGACACGGTATCGGCCTTCGGAACTAGTTCATACTGCGCGAGTCCCCGGCCACGGCCCGGGCGCCGACAGAAGGGCGGCGTCACGAAATCCGAGCCAAACAAACTGCGTCGTGACGGGCGCTCAGGGAGGTTTGTGGAATATGATGGCATGGGTGACGGAGTAGGCAGATTGAGCTGTTTCAAGTGTGAATAAGTTGGGCTGTTTGTGTTAAATACACAAACCAAAGCTATTTTTAGCTCGTTCAAACTGCTAAGACCGGACCGAGGTGCGAAAATAAACACTCGGTGGACAGTCACTGTCAGTATCACAGGGCTACCGATCAGACCACTACCGCTCCTGTGAGGCCGCCAAAACCAACTGGTGAGGTATTTACGCTGACGAAACCTGGCTGCGGCCAGACTGCGGCTGGCGTTCGTCTCGCGAAATCACCGACCTATTCGCCACCGGCTTAAGCAACACACTTCGCGCAGATGCTTTGAATGACAGTGCCAGCTCCACTATAGATAATCTCTCTAGAACACAGACCTTCCAAATCTCCACTTTCAGTGCTCCCCGCCACTCCCTGACGAGCCCCTCCCCTCCCCTCCAGCCGCACCGGGCCCCGACTCACACGGCCAGTCGGCACTCGACCTTGCCCTTGTGGCTGGTGAGGAACTTGGGCGGCAGGCAGTCGTCGGCGATGGCGCGCGCCAGGAAGTTGCCCAGGATGACGGGCGCCTCGGGACAGTCGAGCACCAGGTCCGGCAGGGAGGCCAGCAGCGTCTCGAAACCTGGACGGTACAGGGGAGAGGTCAGTGGGGCCGTGCAGAGAAATACAGACGCGTGATGCATATCGAGCACTGCGACACAACCGGTGTCTGAGCCAGAAACAAAGCCAGAGCGGCTTCCAAACGGCAGCGGCCACAGCCGGAAGAACACAGACGTCGGTCTCGGCCAGGCGGTGATGAACGCTGTAGTGCAGCCCTCGTCTCACTGCGTGGTCGGCGGGTATTCACTGGGTAATATAGCCCGTTACCCACCTGTGGTGATCAGACATGTGCTTGGATCCGAGAGCTGGATCTATGATCTCAGTGGATCTCTCGACAAAATAGAGGGGTTGGATCTATGATCCGAGTGGATCTCTCGACAAAATTCAGGGGTTGGATCTATGATCTGAATGGATCTCTCGACAAAATTTAGGGGTCGGATCTATGATCTCTGTGGATCCAGCGGGCTAAAATTTGTGGAGGACCTATGATCTGTATGGATCTCACGACAACATGTAGCCAATGAAACCCTTATCCTACATAATTGTACACCTTACAGTGCAATACAATTGAGAATTATCACTTGTGGACATGGTTATTGGTTAAGACCACTTGTGATCATTAGGTATCATCATTAAATTTGAATTTAAATAAACAACATTTGTACTACATTTAAAATAAACCAAGAACATGCATATTGCTACTTTTTGTGACCAATTGTAACTTTTTCATGACAGCACTGATGACAATCTTATCAACAAGCTACAGCCACTTTAATTCAAAGAACAAACAGTACAGACAGATGCAGTGGCAGCAGGGCACTGCAGATTTTCATTTTGGTCCCATTCTTTCTGCAACGCCAGTAGGGCTAATGCTAAAATGCCAAACTCTATGGGGGGCACTGTACCCTGGTGCCACACCCCCCCCCCCTGTTCTGCTGCCTATGGACAGATGTTAGGAAATCAAACCTGGAAGCCAAATAGGTCAGTTTTGTTAAAAATAATCCAGCAATCCACTTCTGCCAGGTATGAAATCCCAATCCAGAGTGTTCATATGAGCTATTAGTATGTGCAACACAATTTCGATTTAGTAAGAATAGCAACCAACCTCTAATACTTTCCTAATAAAATTACAAGTTCAAAAATGGCATCAACTTCTTCAGATAACCTACTTTTGGCCACTTTTGGCATCCTGCCAGCTGCCACGTGTGGTGCCATGCTGTGCTTTTGTTATGAGAGAGCCTCCCAAAAAAAGACAAACGAAATTCACAGCTCACGTTTTGGTAATATGGTTTTATTACGTCATTATCGTTTGACCAATGAAAAATCTTAATTTGACCAAGACCGTAATGATTCCAAAAGATTCCCCGTAATAGGCCCTCTAAACTAATGACGTAAGATATTGTTATTCTTTTGAAAAGTGAATAAAATTAAGATGCAAGGCGCACACCGCTCAGGGCCATATAATACCGTTTCAGCTTACGTTTACGTCATTAAATTCAACGCTACAAAGATGATATTCACAAACAATCGTATCGTAAAATCATGTGAGGCAGAAAAAATGAACATTCTTTAAAAAAAAGTTCCAGACTTTTGAATTTCCAGTTTGATTTTTTATTTATTTTCATTATACTCGAAGGTAGAACGCCTAGCTCATTTGTTATTTGAAATGACGTCACGAGTTCAATTTAGATACTGAATAATCATTTTACGGTAAATATCCTTGGCCATTACAATTGATATTTCGCTTCCCATCGCTTCCGCCAGACGTAAATATGCTCGATTCCGCAGGCTGTTGAATATTTTTATACTTTTGTTTATATCTCAGTTTATTTTATCAAATATTTCTTTCAATAGATTGAAATACCTTTACCTAACCAAGCCACATGTGTCAGTATCATCTTTTATTGTTTATCAATCAATTGTGGTAGCTGGAAACTGGAAAGCCTCATGGTTGTCTAAGCAAGATCAATGAGATTGTCTTATCAATATCATTATGTAGATTCTAACATGAATTGTGATGTGGTAGGTACCTAGTTATGTATTGTTCATTAGTCATTACTTTGACTTACCTCTATGTTAATTGTTAATGCAAACTTTTCTGTTGGTATGTGAACTGTGAACAATCTTCATGTCACTCAATTCTCTCAAGTTGTGACCGTCATGAGCCTCCTTTATTTTGTATTCTGTATAATGTAACTGGATGCCTTTACTAATATGGTCTTTGTATAAGATTGTTTGTTTCTAACCATACTTTGGTATTCATAACTTCTTATGAAAGAAAGTTGTTAACATTTTGAGCACCTATGTATGAGCTATGATCCCAACGGATCTCACGACAAAATTGGGGAGCCAGATCTATGATCCGAGTGGATCTAGCGACAAAATTGAAGGGTCAGATCTATGATCCCAGTAGATCTCTCGACAAAATTGAGGGGTTGGATCTATGATCTGAATGGATCTCGGATCGGGATCCATGGGATCGGATCTCAGATCCATTTTTCCGGATCCAAGCACATGTCTGGTGGTGATGTCTGTCTGGGTCAGACACTCCTGGTACAGTACCCACCTCTGGTGATGTCTGTCTGGGTCAGACACTCCTGGACTCAGGGCTGCGGAGTCGATGGATTTTCAGCGACTCCGACTCCGACTCCGACTCCGGCTTTCAAAAACCAGCTCCGACTCCGACTCCGACTCCGGCCAGAATTGTCGACTCCGACCGACTCCAACTCCCGACTCCGACTCCGCAGACCTGACAGGGCTGCGGAGTCGACGGATTTTCGGTGACTCCGACTCCGACTCCGGCTCGGGTTTCTAAAATCGACTCCGACTCCGACTCCGACTCCGGTCACAACTGTCGACTCCGACCGACTCCGACTCCGACTCCGACTCCGACTCCGCAGCCCTGCTCCTGGTACAGGTAAAGTCGACTACAGAATGATGTTCCACTTTTCACAGGCAATTATTTGCCTGGAGTGGTAGGCTGTGCCGCATCACACGGGCTGAGTTCACAAATTATAGCTTTGTCCCAATGCTCACGATCGACACGCTTAATTGCGTGATAAACCGCACAACTTAGCGCTCCGGTCAACTGATAGCTTCTGAGGAGTGGAACATCATTCTGTAGGCGACTATACAGTACCCACCTCTAGTGATGTCTGTCTGGGTCAGACACTCCTGGTACAGTACCCACCTCTGGGTCAGACATTCCTAGTACAGTACCCACCTCTGGTGATGTCTGTCTGTGTCAGACACTCCTGGTACAGTACCCACCTCTGGTGATGTCTGTCTGGGTCAGACACTCCTGGTACAGGTCGGAGAGCAGGATGGACGTCATCTCCCGGTGGGACGACTTGTGGTCCATGGCCACCTCGATCATCGTCACCACTACCTGAAACGGACAGGGGGGATAGGCCGCTCACGAAACACGCATCGGCTAACGAAACAAAGTAATCTTGAACGAAACACCCCAACAACGAAACGGTCTATCGGCTACACTACACAACACAACACAACACACCGCCACTGCAGCTATTAGCTTTGACAGACTATACATTGAAAACAAACAACGCATGCAAACGTAGGTATCAATCCTAACTGAGGAATGCCTGGCTACCGGCTGTTTGGGAACAGAGTTGACCATCGTCAGTCCGCATGGTGACAGGAAAAACAATGAACTATCACTACTTTAAACGCGGTCTTGACAAAAAGTGCGTCGCTTCTATTGAAGTCCTCAATTAGCCTGTAGTCACGACTCACAAGGCCGTCGCATGCGTCTCGTTCGGCGAAATTTCAACGTTTAAACGACACATTTTCAGGCTTGTTATGACCAAGCCGAGTACCACCATCCGCCTATGCCGTGCAGTGTGCACTAACAAAGCCGACCTATCGTCCCATCGCTCTATCTGGTCAATCGCTCGGCATAGTTGGAACCTGAAGAAGCCAAACAGGTAACTGGACTGCCGGGGAGCCGGTTGTGAGAGCACAATGTGGTGCTAGGGACGGTCTGCGGTCGGCGGCAGCGGCCATCCCTCAGCGTACGGAGGTCAATGAGCGTGTGCCGGCAGAGCATAATGTATGTCGGCCCGCTAAACATCCGTCTCAGCGTTCCCGTCCGGTCGGAACTCAAAGCCGGATTAGACGGTCGGACCAGGGAGCTTGCACAACTAAAGCTGTTTAGGGCGACTTTGAACCTTGAGAATGAAAATCACCATCAACATTTGTACCCCATTAATGTCAGCAACGTTCTAGCCGCACTTCTGAGAAATATTCCCGAAATTTCGAAGACGAAAAATCTACTCACAAATCATCTATACACCATTGAAACCATTGAAACCATTGTAAACCATTGAAACATCCGGCCCTCCTAATGCACCTGCGGCAGTGACCACCGGTAGTCCGGTGGCAGCACGTAATGCCACCCGATAGCCCACCGGCCCCAGCCGTGACATTTCCCGTACGTTCGCAATGCACGGCGATACCCGAGAGACACGCGGCCCGAGTGGCGCCGCCGCAACAGGCCCACTTCATAAAACAGCACACCGCATAAATGCACGCACGGTCACTGAACTCACAGTGGCGAAAACGGGACCGTGCAACCGCATCGGGAACTTTCGGGCCGCGAGCCGTGTGAAACAGCTAACTGCCTGCATTGCGACATCACGTCGCCGACCAGGCCGGCGTAGATTTCCCTCGCCAGGTTTGCTGGCGCCGCCCCGCCGGCTGGAGTGCCACCCGCCCCTTCCCCCTGCAGGCTGGCCGACGCCGCCCGCGCGTCTGCGTCTCCCGCGGCCAGCCAAGGTCAGCCGACCTGCTCCAGTCAGCTGACACCGGGCTCGCCGCGGCGGCCGTCTCGGCACGCCTCCCGACGTGAGGACGTCTCGGGTCGTGTCGCGGAACGAGACGCAACAACTCCCCTCCCTCCCCTCACGCGCACGTGCAGCCGCCGCGCACTGTCTCTGGAACCGCCTGGAGCCGCTCCGCTGCGCCGCACCAGTGCACCGCTCCGTGCACGGTCCCGCCTTGAGCGGCGGCCAACGCACGGTGGTCGGCCAAGCAACAGACGACGGCCAACGCACGCTACACCGCCCAACAACAGGCGGCGGCGGCCAACGCACTCTGGTCAGCCCAGCGACAGGCGGCGGCGGCCAACGCACTCTATACCGCCCACCAACAGGCGGGGGCGGCCAACACAGACAGTCGGCCCAGCGACAGGCGGCGGCCAACGCACTCTGGTCGGCCCAACAACAGGCGGCGGCGGCCAACGCACTCTGGTCGGCCCAACAACAGGCGGCGGCGGCCAACGCACTCTGGTCGGCCCAGCGACAGGCGGAGACGGCAGAGGCGGCGGCCCCGCGGCACGCGTCGCTCCAGCCAGCCGGCACAATCAGTGGCCGGCAGGCTGGGAATCGCAGACCGGAAGGCGGGCGAATCCGCCCCGCCCAAAATGCGGTTCCGGGCAGTGTAAGTGTAGCACGCTACATCTTGACCATCTAACGTAGTATCTTTTCGGCACGGCCGGCCCGGTGACGCGCAGCTGAGCAGAGCGCTGCCGCACGCTTCCCTCCCTTGTCATTATTCCCTCCCTCCTCCCACCCGTCCCCAGGTCCACCCTCCCCAATCATTTCTCACTGTCCGCACAGAATGGGCCGCCATTAAACTCCAATTAAGACAAGCACCTCTGAAGACAGTCACATCAGGATGAGTCATTGGTAGTCATTACAAAGCAGCTGAAGCTACAAGCAAACGTCGGCACACTGTGAGACCACGCGCAGGCTTAAGGCACGTAGCACATTGGGTCTCACGTAGCCATGGTAGCACAACAGTGCGTCTCACTGCAACGAATCTGCTAAACTTAGCAAACAGCCTCCGAAACAGACGTAGTTCAGGACGTCTCCACTGCGGACAGAAAGCGCTGTTGTCCGAAACAAACGTAGTTCAGGACGTCCCCACCGCGGACAGAAGGCGCTGTTCTACAGACCCTCCCAACCAAGATGACGTCAGTGGGTGGAGCAAGAGTGACGTCACAAGGGGCGTTGCCGGCAGACGAAACGGAAGGAAACAAAAGTTTGAATAAAGTGAAATTGAAGAATCAAAATTAAAACTCGAAAATCACCAACCTTTCGGGGATTGGTTTATGCCAGCGACTACTAAGATGATAAAGCACTCAACACGAAGACGATTCGACGGCCAAAAATTGCAGACACAGAGGAGCAAGGTGACTAAACAGGACAGAGGGCGCCATCTTACGGGCCCACCCACAAGAGGAAGGCAGAGGAAGATGACGGCGCAAGGGCGTGGCAGTCACCCCCTCCCCCCAAGCTATAAAAGGGTGCACCACCCAACCAGAGAGAGGAGACACAGTCGAGCAGCCGAGAGTCACAGTCTGCAGCCGGAGCCGGAGACGCCATCTGGGAGCCGCCGTCAGTCCGGGGTCACCCGCGAGAAGTCTCTTCAGTTCGAGCGCAGAGGAACTCCAGAATGTGAGTGCTGTTGCAAAGTCTGCTCTATCCCTGATCCTTGCCCCCCCCCCCCTCTGCCCAGCTTGCCGTGCCCGTGACGACTGCCAAACATTTTTGGTTGCCATAAAATGCACTCTCAATTGGAATTGGAAAACTTAAATTACTTTGAACTTATTGGTCCAGACACCCTAGTAGCACATTAGGATCTGAATTTCGAAGTCATGTCAGAGCCGCCAGTAAATACGTTATCGTCAGTTGGAGTGCGGGATACATCGCGATTAGGTCGAGAACGGGATGCTAAAATTTGAATAAGCAGCTCAGTGTCACGAACGCTGAAATCGATGACCGGATGCGTAACAGCGTTGAAACGTCTTTGTCTTTGGTCAAACTGGTTCGTTTGATTTATTATCCGCGGTGGCCAGGCGCAATTTGAGGTTGGAACGTCTGTGAAATTAAGAGTTTAGATTCGTGCTGTACTCACTAAAAGTTGCATTGCGAAATCATTGGTAATATGACTGTAGGAATTAATTGCGAAGTCGAAATCAATTGTAGAACAGGTAAATACGGTTGAAAAGGAATGTACTATTTTAAGGTGGCGACTGATTCATGCAATCGATCTATGAATATGGCTATGAGTTATGATTTTCGACAGATACGAATGCTTGAGCTTACGGCGGAATTTCTTCTGTTACTTAGGTGCAGAGTTGAGAGTAGTGGTTTGAGGTCGACGGTTTGACACTTTGCGACTTTAGATGGTCCTTGTACTTACCGTCAGTGAAATTGCGAAATGTCGTGTAACAGGTAGCTGTAGAATTGTTTGTGGTTAGAACTAATATGCGACTAATATAGGTACCGATCGCTGTGCTTCTGTAGAATAAATACTAGAAAGGACCATCTTTGTTGGGGAACGATTAAAGGGGACAGGAATTTAATAGAAAAAAAAACTTACGTGGAATGGAGCTGATGAGATGTCGAACAGGGAGATATTGCAGCGATATTTTACCAGATTCACACTCACTGACACATTCGTTGAATCTACCCGGCCCGGAGAGACCGCACACACCAGTACTGCACCGCGAGTGATGACGCGCCCATCGCGGCGCGGCCTTGACAACTGTCGACTGTCGACGCGGCGCCGGCCGGCGCCGCGGTAATCATCGTTCGCGACGCGGGACCGTGCGCCGCTAGATGGCACACGAGAGCAGCGTCGGGAGTGGAGCAGCGGCCACAGTAGGGCAGTGGGCTAACCGTAATTGGGCGCGTGCGGTAGGTGAAGGTCATCGTAGGTATAGGAACATGGTTAGTTGTGGAAGTTGCCACGGGATAAGAACGTAAACAGTTACTGCATAATTATAAATACGACATGCTATGTAATATCTAGACTGCAGGTCGTTTAATGTGCATTGTTTACTGTTGATAGGATGATTTAAATTAGATTTCCTCTGAAAAGCTAGCGATCCGTATCCGTATGACAATATTCTGGCATTCTATAAAGATAAATTGTATAGGTAACTAGTAGTCCATCAGAAACTGCCACCAGAAACTATCGAGCGAGTTTCAAGGACTCATTTCCGTTGAGCACTCAGTAATTTACTATGATACGGCGGTCACAACCAGACGACAGATCCGTGCGTACTAATTGGTTCTAGATCATCTGATTAAATCAAGAGCGGTTCAAGGTCTGCTAGGGTTGTATACGAGAACTGATGATTAGGTTCACGCGTACAGCAGCAATTAGGACTTGAGATTACGATTTGGTTTGGATAAATAATGCGTTTTTGTTCTTCGCGTTCTTGCGAGTTAGCGCCAATGATTACTCCACCAATATTGGCACAGGGCATTGTGAGGCACAGACGGCTTGTTTGCCCGTCTCCTATGGCGTAACGTTTACCAGCATGACTGTATGAGACACAGATGCACTTCTCTAAACCCACGTCCAGACCGGAATAATAAGAGGGACACACCGTCACGTACGCAGGGCATATGCACGTTTTCCGCCAGTGGTACCGGCCACTGTTAATTTCCCGCTTAGGTAATACTGGGTAACGAGGCAGTGAGAGGTTTCTATGGCAGAGGAAAGGAGAAGACTGGTACAGTGCAGTCGGAGAGTAAGTTGGAGCTATGCCAAAGGTAAGAAGCCGAAGGTCAGGGGTGAGTCACCCAAAGGGCGGATAAGGCAAGCTGTAGTGTCCCGAATAAGTCCTCATACTTATTTTGTAAGGGTACCTTAATCGGTACTGGACAGCCTCAGGGGAGGTAACGATGTACTCCAGGACACGTAAGGCCTTGAAAGTAAATCCCAGGGTTTAAGGAGAGTTCCTGAGGAGAGTTCCAGGATATGAACGGTGGTCTCTGGGTCGTGAACGGAGGTGTTACACGCGGACCGGAAGAGGGCATAGGTAATCTCTCCCGGATAGAGAGATAAGTCGGATGTAAATCGTGTATGTGTGTACCATAAGTCTATCGGACGTGTGGGAATCCCATAGATTAGTAGGGTGGATATTTGTACATATTTATTCTGGACGGCCCTGCGATAAGTATCTTTGTCGCCGGTTAGCGGAGCATGCAAATGGATTTCGGAAGGAGACATTTATCTCGCCGGGGAGATCGTCGTCAGCCAGACACCTAACACTATCGGAGGGAATTTCGGGGCTGCTAAATCGATTGGGGTGAGTGAATGGAGGGCAAATGTTTTGTGTAAATGAGCGTAAGAATGATGAAGGATACATCTTAGGATAAGGCCGATAGGAGTTAAGCAGAACTCAGGTTGGGCAGTTGAGCTAATGATTCTCGAGGGCAACTAAGCTAGCAACGCTAATACGAACTAAGTGGGCAATTTTCGTAATGGGGAGGCCAGTGATATAGGAATGGGTGACTGGACGAATGATCACATTCAATTAATCAATTTAATTACCACCCATATGTTTGGCAGTGGTCATCGGGACTTCGAATGCCCTGTCCTTCACCTGCCCAACTGTGCCGCAAACCCAGCTGATCGGATCCCTCTATCCCTAATCCGAGCAGTGAAGAAGCATATCGTGCATCATGGTCTATACAATGAACAGAATCATCAAGCCTCTAAATCAAAAAGCATCTTCCATCAGATGTATTTGTATGCAAGGTGGATCGGTATCTACATCTCTCCCAGGTGGACGTCACCTCAAGATCTCTATCTGGATACCTACATCTCTCTATCTCAGGATCCCATCTTCATCACCATCTGGATCCCTCTCTATAGCTATCTCAGGATCTCTTCAACGACTCTCAAGCTCCCCTGTATCACAAGCTCTACTACCCAGTCATTACAGCAGCAAATAGTTCTCTCTTCTTGTACAACCAGTTGAGCGACAGAGGACCGCGGTGCTGGATCAACCGCGAAGATACAGCTCTGTATTTCTCTTTCTTTCTAATTCCCCTCGCTACATAAGCCACCGATCAAAGCTCAATTGGAGGTTTCATATTATGAGTTATTAGAGGTGTATACAGTAACATAGCGAACTTCAGCTGCACAGCTAACGCAGCCGCCCGCAATAGTTGTAAAACGATTACAAACAGGAACGTGCTGATTCAGTCTTGTGGCGCGGAATAGTTTCAGGTCAGGAGACGATGCACATTTACCCTGTGCGCTACTCCGTGTTAGCCCGCGATACTCCTGTCCGACTCGGACCGGAGCGCACCACCGTTCATTTTCCGTCGGCCCGGCCCGCCCAGTGACCGGCCCGGTCGGCGGGCGCTGATCGATTCAGTCCGCCGCGCCGGCAGCGCTGCAGGGGCGACATTGAAGCACAGCGCGGAATGGCCGCCACTCTACGGACAACTGCACAGCGAAACCGGACACAGAACCTACTAACATGGCGGGCCAGCCGCCCGACGGCGAATTTAGATCCGCCCGACAGGTTCGGTCAGGTTTGTTGTCGGTGCGCAGTTGCGACATCCCAGCAGCTGGCGGTGAGTTCGGCGAGCGTGTGCTCCGCTCCCTCGCAGCGTCGCCGGACAACGGGCATCATTCCACGAGTAAACAAACATTCCACTGGCGGCTGGGCACCTCAGAGGACCGCCAGCAGTGGCCGAGCTCCGGCAGGACCGCGTGCGCGGCCGTCAGGCGAGGGACCGCGCGCCGGCAGCAAAACGGGCTGCACGGCGGTATATGGCACGGTCCGCGCCCTTGAATGGGCTCGGCAGGGTTGGAACGAAAACAACGGCACGACGGTCGGCGGCAGTGGAGCCACCAGCACACCCGACTGACCAGGTGCTGACCGGAATCCGAAATTGAGTCGTACAACCCCGTAACATCGGATTCTATGGGATGCCTCCTAGTATGCTACCACTGCATAAATAATCGTAGGTATCATTAATCATAGCCATCACCCAGTCCCATGCCACTGGTTGAAATGCCGAAAATTCCTCATGGATGATAGATAATAGTGACAGTGTAGCTCAGGTGGTGCAATGTCAGCATGCCAGGCCCATGAAACTCCGTAGAATGCATTCACGCCAAGCCAACAAAGGTCTACCGAGCAGCTCAATAATCCCGCCGACAAACAACTAACAGGACAGAGCCACAGCTCACTGTGGGTGGTTCCCCCGACTTCAGTTGGGTCGGTGACGCGGCTCACACCAGCGCCGCGGTCAAGGAAACGTCAGTTTCAGTTTCGGTTACCCACGCCATCGATAACCGATCGCCACTGTCACTTCACAATATTCGAATATCACCGGTGGTTTCCTCGAAACAAATAATTTCGGCGAGTCTCCTTCGATAAGCAGTTTTGGAGACCGTTCTGCTCAGCGACCGACCGCGCGTTGTGCAATAATAATGCTACTATGGTTCCCCACTGGCATACGTTGGAGAGCGCATTAAATGCATAGAGGTGTAATCAAACCACCAGATACACTTCTACATGAGGTACCGAACGGACACCGGAGTGGCAATACGAGCAAAATTAAAAAAAAACTTCTTACGTGGTTTAAAATCGGACAGTAATCGGTAAAATCAAGACAAAAAAAAAAAAACGGCAAAAGGAAGATTCAGTCGTGCCCTGAATCACTTTCCGATATTTATGTAATCTCATTCAAACTTTCCTATCAATGTAATTACGTGATAACAAGCACCCGTCTCTGGCAATGTTTGCATCATCGCCGTTCCATTGTTCTATTATAGACCTAGCGGCGCATCGAGTACTACCGTTATTTTCGTTTTCCACTTCTGACACATAAATTATCAATAATTCCTGCCTAACTACGGAAGGATGATTTTCCTTGACACGGAAAAGCAGCAAAATGGAAAACGTTGCAAAATGGGCGCTTCCATTAAGTACATAATAGTCTATCAGTATCTATTTGATAAGAACCGAAGTCGCGACGGATTTTCACACGTCTTTCAAAACAAACACGCAGGGGTGGTGCCGCTGAGGATCTGGGTACTCACCAGGTACCGCAGGTGCATGTTGATGCTGTCCCAGTGGTCGGTCAGGCTGCCGTCCACCTCGCCCGTGTCACCGTGCTCGAAATACTCGCACACCAGACCCTCGGTCATCTTCTGCTCGACAGGGCGGTATGAAACCGGCGTCAACACCGATACTACGATATAAACATTCATACAGTAGAATTTATACCCGCCTTTATTAGCTCCTCGTAATCATCGGGTAGGTAAGCATGAGTTAAAGGGTAGGTCGGCAACGCAAATTACGTTATTAACAGTGAAAAACCGATCTTAGATGTTGACCTAAAAAAGAACATAATGCAATGTAAACAAAAACACGATTCATCTGACCATCTCGCGGCAGTGAGTTGCCGTCGAATAAATTAACAATATATTCATTTCGGTCAATTAATTCAATCTGTCACCCTGTCCGGTCTCGCCGCGCCCCGTCCCAGTGCCGCGGGTGATGCCGGCGGCGCGGCGGACGCACCTTGATCTCGTCCTCGGTCAGCTCGACGGCCACCTGCTCCAGCTGCACGTCGTCCATCGAGTCAGAGTCGTAGTTGGGGTCGCCCGAGTCGATCTCGGCCGCGTCCAGCTCGGCGCCCGGCTTGCCCCAGACGCCCTTCCCGCCGGCACCGCCTGCAAACGGCCACAGACGTGAACAGGGCTCAGGCTCACAGGGCTCGGACTCCACAGGACTGGAGGACTTTGTGACAGACATGGGTGACAAGTCAGCTGTCATAGTGGCTGTATTTAGTGCAATTTGGTGGAATGGATGTGATTTCATCCAGCTCTAACCAAGGCACTTTGTCTAAATCCTCACCAATACAAAGGAAACATGTGCATTGCATGCCACCCTTGCCAATCAAATCACTATCTGCATCTGTTGATTTATGCTGTGATTCTGAGGAGGTATGGTGATATAGCATAAGCCATACAGCCCCATATACTGTTATTGTCATATCAGAGGTACTTGAGGCATTCCATCCAGTCTGTTTGACAAAAATCTACCCCTGGAGCTGTAAAAGGCCAAAATGTGACTGGATACCTGCAATCCTCAGCATAGCATTGCTTTCACTTCCATGAGTGTTGGTGATGGCAAATGGTGGGATCAAGACACTGAAATGAAGACCCCCTGACACCAGACCACATTGTTCCTGTTTCATTACACTAAACTTGGGTAAAAAGCTGCAGGATAGCTGAAAAATCACTCACCCTTCTTTGGGAGGCCTCTTCCCATGCCAGCCCTAGATCTCCTGCTGTTTTTAGAGAACTTTGAGGGTACCCTTGTTGGCTGAGGCTCCGAGATAGACACGGAGCGGGTTCTCTTGGATTTTCCCTTTCCATGAGCCACCTGCTCCTGCACTGACTTGCTTTCATCAATCTGAAGATCATCAGCTGATGCTGATGCTTTGGGTGAGTCCCCAGCCTGGGCAGGCTCAGTCTCCATCTTCGGCTACTCTTATGTGCTTGTTGCAGACCTAAAAAGTAAATGAGCATGTCTATAATTTTCTGAAATAAAGTGAACAACCATACACAAAACCTGTTGTAAATTTTGGTGCACTAACTAGGCTAATACAACTAGGGGCTATTCAGAAGAACAGGTTAAAACAAGATCACTGAATCAATTGTAGGTACATTCTTCCATTTATCCTGGTGCACTCAGCAAAATTGTTGATAATTAAAGGTCCCTCTACGTTACTGTCTCATTTGACAGTTGTGTTTACTGCAGATGCATATCTTTACATGGCATTAGTAATGACACAAAAACAATCTACACAAATGGGTCAAATAAATGATGATAGCTTACCTACAAGCCCTTTTCCCCAATCCAAATTCACCAGGGCAAGTGGAGCTGGAAAAAGGCACCCCGTACGAAGATTGAAGATTCGATAACTTCACTTTGACTTGACTTCAAAACAAAGCAAGACTGAAGACTGGCGAGACCGAATCAGCGACCCACAATACGCCTTGACCCGTAACTTGTACGGCTCAGGCTCAGATGCAAAGCGATATTTAGCTTAGTCAAAACCACAGACAAGACCAAGAAGATAAAAAATCAGAATAATCAAGCAACTCCGCAACCACCGCAACGCCACCAAGACCCTCCCCACGCAGGGTCTCTGCGCATTACTTCCGCAGATGTTGCGAAATACTTTGTTGTTGTCTAGTTGGCATGTGTTATTGTGAAATACCACTCAGCTGATGACATGCCTTCCTACTCCATAAAAAGGAAATTCAAGCAATAAGAACAAAAAGTGTTGCGAATGCTTACAAAAAACGCTTAAAATATATCTCACTACTAGACTACTAGCACTTATTCTGAAAAAAAATAAGAAAAACTATCAGTGACGAACATAGGTGACGAATATATGTATTTTCGTATTTTTCTCTTTGTCTTTTTTTATCTGAAACAAAAAATGAATGGTGGCGTAAAACATAACAAGTACCAAAGATGTTTTAAAAACAAGGGTAAAAACCAAAGAAACAGAGAAAAACAATTTAATTCAGCTTTCAATATGACCTTGAAACAACAGCCAGCTGACAAAAATGAAAGAAATGAAGAACAAAGCAAGTTTCATTTAGATGCGCCAGAGTTGTATGCAGTTAGTTAGCTCCATACAGCTGATCTTTTGTAATTTGTTGGAGAGGAATCGGGGGGGTTGTAGCAAGGAGTAGTAAAGTAATCTTGGTAGCAAGGGTTGTAGGCAAGGGTTGTAGGAGGCGTAGGGGGCGTGTGGAGGTGGCTCGTCTTCCTTGGTCGTTCCGTTCGATCGGCCCGTGAGAAACCGGAAGTTCAACTTGTTGTTCATATAGGTTTGATCCAGGTCGCTCGGTTATCGGGTGATGAATTAACGTGGAGTGTTTCATAGACACAGTGTCTCATAACAATAAAGCACCGACGAATGTTTCGACTGCATCAACACGTGTGCCATTCAGTTACTAAATAATGCAGTCATTCTGTGGAATGTGAATATACTCTTCTGAAGTGATATCTGCAGTCTGCACTCTGCACCCTGTTAAAGCTGCATATTTCACAAATTACTTGGACATGGAGAGCTCGAGTAAGTATGATTGTCATGTCACACAATCTGAATCTAAATCAATTACCTACCTATCTATTGATCTTGCTATCATTACTGTGTTATTTGGCATGACTGGGAAATCTGTGCTTAGCAGTTCTTATGTAGGAAAAGAAACAGACTGTGAAGTGTGTGCCATAAACCAAAACTGTTCAAAGCTGAGTATGAAAATATATGGCTGTTAAACATATTACATAAATACATACCTATCAATTTTTCAGGTGATGCATGCATCAGTATATCATATGAATAGTTGCATACCTTTCACCATGACAATTTGCAGGTGCACCTCACCCATACCAGCACCTGGAGCGGGAGCTGGTTGTGGATGGTGCCACCTTCAGGTACTTCGACTTGGCTGGCCTCAATGACCCACGATGTGGTAAGTCCCTGCTGGGCAGGGAATGAGGAAAAAAATTGCTGATCAGAGTAGTGCTGCTGCCTTTAGTTTATATTATTTAGTTAACACTTATACCATTCCTTTTCTATCATTAACTCAGAATACCTCATCAGCAAATGCTTACCTAAATGAAGCATCACATTGATATTATTTGGATAAGGCACATCCATTATAATTTTGTTAAGCCTACTTCATTGGTGGATTACATTTATGGAGCTTATCTGTTTACTCAACTACCAATCTAATGGCTTGTTTGGAGGGTTGCGCTGTTTCAGTTGGTCTGGCCCAACCATCATCTGACCTCACACCGGTGACTCGCCCTCTACCCCACTAGCAGACGGTGTGGGTTGGCTGGCTCGGTTGGTTCCAGCCCAGTTTGGCCCCTTGGGTGCTCGCTGTCTGCTTCCGGCCGGTGCGACGCCACCGAGGCGATCTGAGCGGGTTATCGTACCAGTCGGTCCTCCGGCTCCAGGGGCGAGGTCTACGACACCGCGGCCGCCGCTGAACCGTGGTCATGGCTCGTGCTGGCGGAATGGGTCGGACCAAGAGCATGGGCGAGCGTGGCCGGGCCCTGGTCGAAACCGGATTAGGGGTTGTGCTTCATCGCTGTATGGATCTTGACGCTGCTGCAGTCTGCTGTTATAAGTTTTAAAAAAATGTTAATTGTGAAATATTTTACTTGTTCTCTTCACAAGAGATGGTTATTACTTATTGGTTATGCTGGCGTCTCAGGAGTTGATGCTCTGCCAAGTACCAATTTGATACGATTTACGGCGATTTTCAACCCTATCGGTACTTTGTTACTGAAGAAGATCAAGGAGTTTTGACTACTTCTGCAACCATAATAATACGAAGCTAAAATTCGTAGCTTGAGATGCCATACATTTCCTTGACTTGCATAGAGTTGAGGCGCCTGCGTCACTGGCCAACTCAATTTGGCATCACATATGGTGTGATTTCATCCATTGCTGGTAGCCGGTAGGCACATTCTCGTTCGTGACTTTCTGGTGTCTGGTGGTGTGCTCGTTTCTCCCTGCACCCCATTGTGGTTGCGCTGCCGGTAGCTCCTCTGTGCAGAGCTCTCTGTTTCTACCACCGCTCCAGCTATGTGCCGCCAGCCGTGTCTCAGACGGAGGCATTGGAGTGGTTTCAGTCAGGATCCTGTTGGACGAAGCATTTTTGGCGGCTACCGATACCCCGAGTGGTTTCAGTTTCCATAGCACACCCTTGTAGCTCCACACAGGAGGTAAACGATCGGCAAATGCACCGTGACGTCACTTCATCGGTAGTGAGGTCAGTGACCTTCGCCAGAACTCGGAGAGCGGCCGATGTTTGAGTGCCTTGGTCAGATGGCCGGGGACACAACCGACAGCACGAGGGTGAAGTCTGCTAGGTGACAGACGATATTTAGTGAAATGAAATCTCGTGGTATTCATTGTATTCTGTGATATAACTAAACAGGTGTATAAACTTCACGTTTTTTTCATACCCATGCTTATCGAGCACTGAAGCTGGCTGGGTCGATTCTATATTTGTGTGTCCGCTGTTATTACCAGTTGAGAGCTCAGCGCGCTAGCTCTGTGCGTGTGGCCCGGTTCGGGAACTGAGGTGGGGCGCTCAGCCTGGGGAGCAAGGGCGCGTGCGAGGAGCTGAGGCTATGGTCCCGGCTACCTGGGGAGGGGAGAGGTCCTGCCGGGTGGACGGTCCGAGCGACGCTATCAGACCCCCTGTCGTTATGTAAGGACCGGTCCGGCGGACCCCCCCCCCCCCCTGTCCCCTGTCGTGGGGACAGATATCAATCCGTAACAACGCTGTTTGAGTGGAAGGGCGGCAACACGATTAGGAGCTCCGTGAGGGGAGGGTAGGATAGCCCGGCGATTTGGTGGCCATGTTATTCAAAGTCAGGTATGAATTGAAGCTCCTGGATTATTTCCGTCTGGCGCCCCGTTTTCTTCTGGTCCGTTATCTGTCAAAAGAAACACACATTCACAGACGTTTCAAACCCTCAAGGACACAGCCATTTATGGACCATAAAAGATTGTGGTTTTCGGACTGCGGTGCTGCCGGGTGACACTGTCGTGTTTGTGGGCGTACGGCTGCTGATTGATGCTGTTGCCACCAACGCCACAACCGCTCCGAGCCTCTTGCCTCGGCCGTGGGACGCTGTTGCGGGCGTTGGACCACGCGGTGGTGGGTCGCCTCGGGGTCGGGCTGGCTAGGGACGTCGTTCACATGCATTCCTCCTGATCGGTGCAAGCCATGATATTGCGTGGTAGCCACGGTAGTGCGGTTAATGGCGGTTTTCCGGCCCAGTGCGTGATTTTTAGTTTAGTTGTTAGGAGACGGATGTAAAGGGAGTGCGGCGTAGTTGTCTGTTTCTGGCCACATTGCGTCAGGGTCCGACCCTGGCAGCTGGCTGGACGGTGGGAGGGGAGTCGGACGGTGGTCGCCAGCCGCCGGGGGTGGCCACGACTTCCGGCCCTCGGCTTCACCCACCCTGCCCGTCCCGCGGTCACTGTCACTGTCTGCGGGACATCGACCGCTAGTTGTGGGCGGGCTGGATAATACCGACGCCACAATCCGTTTCCTTATAGATATTTCATGGTTTTAATTCGTTTCTCATCGGCCTCTAAATAGTGTGCCTTTTGACGCCTCGTCGGCATGTCACATCAATTAGTTGGCACCTGAGCGAGTGCGCCGTATTTGCTGCCCACACCTGTGTCGACCTTGTCAGCTGGGCCGCCGGACTGCCTGATGGCTCGCGGAAAATGACTAATGACCCCTGACGAGAAGGGCGCCAGACATTCATGCTAGACTGTTCTACGCCTTATATGATATCAGACAGATTTAGTACGGAAAACGTAATATTTGTTAAATTAGTAATGGGACATTGACTGCCGCACATTTCCGTTGTAAACTACCGCTGCCTGAAGTTGTGACATGCAGTGCTTTGCGGCTTAGTCTCATTCGCGGTGTCGCTCAGTCCTCTTTAGTATAGCCTGCCTTTATCCACGCGCGAATCATACTGGCCAGAACCTGAGTGCGTCAGCTTTCCGAAGAAACCAAACAAATCACCATTGCATATTGCGGAATATTTGTAGGTACCTTTGTTGTATCTGTTGGTATCCAGTACGGATGTCCTCGGCGTGTGCGTATTGTGCTCGATGCTTTGTGTATGGGCCATGGGGCCACCGCCACGTCGATGGTTAATTTTCCGTAACTCGTCTGTCATAGGAACATTGGCGGGCAGTATGAGCTTCCAGTGTCGACGGAAGTGTGCGTGTACAACATTGCCGTACTTTGGCTAGCGCCGTTGTCGTTTTGGACGCCCCACCCCGGAGTTGTGATAGCAGCTGGCTGCGATCGAACTCTGTTATTCTTCACTCTGTTTCGCCTGCTGTTACTTTCGGCGTCTCTCGGCCCTCAAGCCAGGCTCGGCTAAGCAATGATCATGAATAGGAAGAAACGAGATATTTGCACGTAGTCATCAATTTTCTAGGTCCAAGGAAAGAATGATCTACGGTGAACCAGTCCAGACGCCTGCCCCGCTCCAGCACAGGTCACAACGGAGGCCGTGCGGTAAAGGGTTGGCCACACCTGCCACTCCTTTTCTCACTGCTAGCAGGTCGAGAGGAGGGGCGTGCCGCTGCCTATATTGTATAGCGCTCCATCGTGAGCTGGCCGCTGCATCGGCGCATATTCGCAGCGAGGAGGACAACGCCTGGGCATGATCTGTGTGAGCTCATGCCTCCTGTTGGCTTCGATTTGATGCATTCATCACATCACAGTAATTCTTTTTTTTTAATAATTCAACAGCCTCATTCGTTCTCAGTTCGTGGTGTTCATTACACGTGCCCGCTCGAAGACCGGTGACGCTCCTGACTACGTCATATCAGGACAACGGCAAAAACTTATCTGTGCCACGCTTATCTCGAATACCATGCCGGTAAAAAAGTATCCTTGACGTTTTGACCATGTTCTCCGATGCGACAGACTGAGTGCGTCACGCGACTGAACTCTGTCAGTGCTATCAGCCATTGTGCGGCGCTCCTGGCATCTCCCCCTCCCCAGCTCAGGGGTCTGGTCTGGACCGTGTGATCTGCGCTGTCGAGTTGCCGGGACCTCGTCCTTCTCCCCTCACCGCACCTTGCCGTGCCGCCGGGTCAGTCCATGAGACGGTCGGACTGGGAATGTACCGCCGTTATCGAGTCTTCAGCATACTTCTGACAGCGGCCGGCGTCATACAGCGGACAGGCGGCGGCGGTACGCCTCGGTTTCTACGACGTGGAGAATGTTTATGAATTGGTCAGGTCAGCATTCCGCAGGGCCATGTTTGAGTATGACGGATGAGGCGTTCGTGCTCTCCGGCGAGCGCTCTGGCTCCGTAGTTTGTTGGCTCGATGTGTATGAGAGGGGCCGGCGGTTGCGTCAGCCTCCCGGTGGCGGTCGGACCGCCGGCGGCTGTTTTTATGCCGGTGCGCCGCCGAGTGCCGACTGCCTCGGCTCTGCCCCCGCTCGGCCCGGCCGCCGGCACAGCTGGAGCTCGGTAGGAGGGGGGGGGGGGGGGAGGTCATGGCACGAACAGCTGACCCCGGGACGGGGTACGGGCCCCTGATGTGACATGACCGGGATGTGAATGGGCTATGAGGTGATGGCAATATTCATAACTCGGTTGTACTGAATACACCAAATATACTATGCATAATGATTATTGCAACTTTTAATGTTGTCACGCCGAACAACAAACCACACTACCCTGCCTTCCAAATACTCCCGGCCATTGAGTTAGCTACTTCTACGAGCGGCTAGTTCATGTGCTTTGCATGGGTTGTAAACTTCTGCAAAAATGTGACTTCCCCTAAACGTCCGTGTCGCCTTCGGCGGCGGTATCAGTATGCAAGACTGACAGTTTCCTTGGCGTGAGGGGGTGGTTACTGGTTACTGGTTACTGGTTATACAATGTGCAGCAACTTGCCATTCCGTGCGGAGGATCTATGCCATGCCACTGGCACGTCAGTGGCTCCCCAGGATGGATTACCATGGGCCTGTCAGTTGTTGCCAAGTGACCGAGTCCTGTTACGGTGTTCCCGACATGTCGTTTGTGCCTCCGCAGTTACACCACTGTTTTGTAATGTGCATGTTAAAAGCCGGCTACGGTGGAGCAGTCAGCAGCAGCTTGAGTCTGCAGCGGGCGCGGCAACGAGGCCGACCGCTGACCGCAGTGCTGTGTTTCGGTGCGGCTGTGTCCTGTGCTGACCGTTTGAGTCTGCAGCGGGCGCGGCAACGAGGCCGACCGCTGACCGCAGTGCTGTGTTTCGGTGCGGCTGTGTCCTGTGCTGACCGTTTGAGTCTGCAGCGGGCGCGGCAACGAGGCCGACCGCTGACCGCAGTGCTGTGTTTCACAGTGCGGCTCTGTCCTGTGCTGACCGTTTGAGTCTGCAGCGTGCGCGGCAACGAGGCCGACCGCTGACCGCAGTGCTGTGTTTCCGTGCGGCTGCGGTGATCCGCCCTCCGCTGACCGCTGTTTCTCGATGTGTGAGCGGCTGCCGTTCCCTGACCGCCGCGTCCTCCCGCTGTTTCAGAGCGGCTGCCGTTCTCTGTGCGCGTGCTGCTGGAGGCGGCGGTGCGCTGCTGTGACGGCGTCCAGCTGCAGCGGGCCGATGTGGAGGCACTGCTCGACTGGCGCCGGCTCACCGACGCCGGCCAGCCCGTCCACGTGCCCTTCAAACCGGGACGCGTCATACTGCAGGTCAGACGCGGGGAGTGGAGCGTAGACAACAGACATGAACCGGTACTTGTCCAGATCCGACCCGCTTTGACCCGACCCGATTAGCCAGGTTCAATGCTTGTGTTCTGGACTGACCCGGTTCGATATGATTGAACCTCACCTGACCCAGTCGACATGGCCCTATCTGCCGTGGGCAATTTGCACAAAATCCAGTGTCCCGAAAAAGTCAATGCTAAGTTTAACAGTGTTTAAGCTTGGGCCCATTTTGGGAGCGGTCTGTATGACTGTTTGCCGCCCCCCCCCCCCCACGCTATCTGTTGTTGTCTGCCAGTGGACATTGATACTCGAGTGTGACGGGCCCCAGAGCACTCCACGGTACCACGGCGTCTCGGCGCCCGTAAGGGGCCGCACGGGACCGGCCGCCTGTCTCTGACTGGGGCTGTCTCTGACTGGGGCTGTCTCTGACTGGGGCTGTCTCTGACTGGGGCTGTCTCTGACTGGGGCTGTCTCTGACTGGGGCATGTGCCGAGGCAGATCCGCTGCTGCGAGACGGGTGGCGAGTCGGCACGGGGCAAGACGCACTGTCGAATCGCTTCAGTATGGGCAAAGGCGTGTAGCGAAACAAGCGAACCCGTTCCTATTGCTATTTTGCCTGCTAGTACTTTTTTGTTGCATATTAAGTATGTACTATTTACGAACATCTGTCGAGCTCTCATGTAACTATACCAATGCCTACATATTTTCATGGCATTTGATACCCGTCATGCTAGTGCTCGGCTCCAGTATGACCTCGTTATTTAACCCTATTCCTGGCGGGCTCCGCCGGGACAAGAAACTGGCGGGGGGGGGGGGCCGATTCGGCCCCCCTTTAGATCTCAAAAACTACACATCGCAGCGACAAACGGCGAACGGCGTTTGATAGGTCGTTTAAAGATCTACAATTTTTACATAAAACATTTTCAGGTCAGGTCAATATTGAGGTCACCAGAGGTCATCAACGATAAAATGTTTTGGAATTAGTTACCTATATAACTTTTAAACTAAGAAACATAGAGACATAAAACCAATACATTTTTTGTTGCTCTCGCCGAGGCGATGCGAAATAAGTATGTGATGACCTTCACAGGTCAATTTGAAATTTGACCTGAGGTCAAGGTCAGGTCATTCATCAATGAGGTTGCGGGATATGGTCATGCTGCATACCAAACGACGCGCCTTGACCAGGCGAGCAGTTTGGTACCACTTACAAGTCTTTAGCACCATCATGTCGTGATTTATTGACAGAAAAACGATTTATGACGTCACATGACCTCAGATGACCTTTGCCGGTGCCCCTGTCAATTAGCGGCACCAGGATCATCACCGATGAGATAATCTTCCATAATACTGAAAGAATTGGGTGGTTTTGACTCGTTTACACGAAGCAGGAGGCGTTTCAATATTTTCCCATAGGCTTGCAATGTAAAGGTCACGAGTCTGGCCTGACCTCAGGTCACAGATATGAAAATTCTGAGATATAAAAATTGCACATACTGGTACCCTAACTAAAGCCTGAAGAGAAGAAATTGATCGGTCAAAAACTCTAGCTCTGGCGTGATTGCAAACTTTTCTGAGGTAGGGTCACCAAACCGCCTCTGGTGACCTGACCTGAGGTCAGATCAACTCAAAATTTTCAGAAATGTTGCGTAAAAGCCTTTTAGGAAAAGTCAGAAAATTTGAGCTTCCTAGCTCAAAGCGTTTGGGAGAAATAACAAAAAAACCTCAGGGGGGGGGGGGGCTCCTGAGGGCCCCCCCCCCCGCCAGGAATAGGGTTAACACTGTGTCTGCTGAATATATCATGCCATCGGCTGTGTCCGCCCAGATTGGCACCCAGTGCACATACGTCACCGGCTGTACCATAAACAAGTCCTGCCCGCCCGGTCCCCCTCCAGGCCGGTGTGTGCTAATGACCTGCCGACGTCACCGCAGGAGACTCTGTTTCGGGTGCCGGGGAGGAGTTGCAGACTGTTTGTGCTACCGGCGCTGGCACTGACAGGGAACATGTCCAACCAGAGTGTCCACCTCCCTGAGAGCAGTGTTAGCCATTAGCTGGAGTGGCAATGAAGTGATGTGAATTCCACGAATGGATAATGTCATTCGTGATGCTCCAGAGATTTCTAGAGCAGGATTTGCCTTAGATTGCTGTTGTCCGTTACTCAATAAGGGAAGGGTGTGACGTAGGAGATATAGACCGAAACTGCAGGAGATTGATGAAATGTGTGCGACTCAAATTTCCCGGGAGCTCAGGAAAAGCTTAAAATGTATTAACTGTAAGGGATTTTTCTTGCAAAATAGAGTCGCATATTCATGACTTTGAATGAGAAGAAACGTCTGCCTTTCAAATGGAGATTTCGTGTCGTTTCTCTGGAATCAATATCACAACGTGGGATATTCGTACATGCGAACTTGTTCGGCGTCCACTACGGAGTTGCACACCAGCCCTCACAAAAAAACCCTCTCCCTGCCGTTAGTGTGCACCATAGTTAACCCCTCCCTCCCTCCTCGCTGTACCGTGACACCGTCCCCCCCCCCCCTCCCTGCCGACAGGACTTCACGGGCGTGCCGGCCGTGGTGGACCTGGCCGCCATGCGGGAGGCGGTCCGTGACCTGGGCGGTGACCCGGCCCGGGTCGGACCCATCTGCCCGGCCGACCTGGTCATCGACCACTCGGTCCAGGTCGACTTCTCACGGGCGTAAGTACCGGGGGGAGAGGGGGGGGGGCTAACTTCTTTTCTCACGCGCGTACGTACGGGGGGGGGAGGGGGTAGGCTATGAAGTAATAACGGACTACAGTACCGGGGGACGGATAAAGTTCTGAGGTGGACGCAGCGAATTGGTCCGATGATGGGCCTTCCGAAGGATTGCGACGGAACTTCTTTTTACCGCAACGTGCACAGCTTCCTGGTTAGGTATGTCAGCGATTTGGTGTATATTTTCTAACTGTAGAGTGCGTGTTGTTTGTCCGCTGTATCAGACTGTCGTTATAAACTTTGCGGTACCCCTCAATGCCACATCGTGAACCGCTGAACTACTTATATCGTGTCTATGAGTACGACTTTGGAGCCGGCCGGCATCTGGTTGGTCCTGTCCTGCCCCACCGTCCGCCGGCACACCGGTGCATTGTGCACCGATCACGCGACCACGGCCTGACATTGAGACAACTCGGGCGGCCCCGCTACTCAGCCGCGTCACTTTATTGTTTCTCGCACGGTCTGTTTGTTGATTGGGCCTCCCTGTCAGCTGGGTTTTCTGTTTGTTGGTTGGACGTGGCGAGAGGTGTATCAAATGGGAGCCGTCCCCGCCGGGTTCGGGTTTCCAACCCCCCCCCCCCCCCCCAGTTGACCGAATATGTGGCGAAATGTCGTGGTATTTATGCGGTAACTCAGTGTGAAGACGGATCATATGACGGTACCTGTGTTCTGTTTCAGCGTGGGTCAGCCGACCCCTGGTCGCTCCACCCCGGCCCCCTCCTCCGGCACCAGCGGCCGGCCCGTGCACGACATCGAGGGTGGCGCCGGCTCGGGTCGGTCGGCGTTTGCGCGCCGCGCGCAGGCCCGTGTCAGGAAGCCGGTGCGCGCCTCCTCTGCCACTGCCTCCTCCCCGTCCACCGGTGCGCCGGCCGAGCCGCCCGAGGCCGCCCCGGCCGCGGCACCGGAGCCGGCACCGGCAGCAGACCCCGCGCCGGCGGAGCCCCGGCCGGCCGCCTACCGTCCGCCGCACCGCCGGCAGCCGCCCGCGGCCGGCGCCGAGCCGCCGCCTCCCTCACTGCGACCACCGCCGTACCGACCGCCCCAGAGGCGGGCGGCGGCGGCCACTGGCGGCGCGGGCGACAAGGAGAAGGAGTGCACCAGCAGGAAGGACGGCCAGTGCGCCTGTAAAAAGGTGGACCAGCTGCAGCTGCCCGCCTGCGGCGTGCCGGCCGCGCCCATCAAAGACGAGATCTGCCCCTTCCACGAGGAGGAGTCGGCTTTGTGAGTAGGAGAGGGACCCCAGGGAACCGAGCATGAGTGGGAATTGACGAACGCAGGTCTGCAGCAGATGGGTAGCAATGGCTGCCTGCTGTACAGGGTGTCTCAAAAGCCCGTTGACACCTTTTCCATGCCAGTAAAGCATATAAGAACCAGTCAAAAATATAAGGCTTTGATGCCTATGTGTACATTAGACAAATATGCGTGTTTTGACAACGAATTCGGAATGTTGGAAACCAAGTCCTTTGCTGTAGCTCCAAAAATATTTGCCGATACCGATTTTTGTCGCTCCGTCAGCTGCCGGAGGCTGATAAAAGGTGACCTGCTTTCAAGCCTTTCTAGGGAAATCCCCTGTAGTTTCTGCGTCGGATTTAGGTTCGACGAGCTCCACGGCCACATCTGCTTCTCCCTGAGAGCCGACAGCTTGCATCGACACCATCCATGAGTATTTTGTAGGTATGATCTGGCACCAACTCCTTCACGAAGACTCATGGCGCCGACATCCAAAGCACCATTTTTCCTTTTCAAAACGACCCCATTCGTGAACAAACGGGAAGTGCCAGGGGTAAATTTTTCGCATCATATCGTTGCAAAATGTGTCGGCCGTCTGTTTCTGATGTACATTGTGCAAATTTTGCAATTCCCAAACGCTCGCCATGCCCCATGCCAAAACATGCGCTGGGTTGCGGAGTGTTTTCCTCAAGAGAGCTTCGGCCTTATAAACGGCCTAAGCCTGTATGTGGTCTTGTCGGGATTTTGTGTCTGAAAGAGAGCTATTCGTTCCAGATTTGCCTCTTGAAACTTCCTAGGATCAAACTTTACATTTATTTACCTTTTTGGGGGCCAAGTGTCCGTAACAATGACGATCTTTGTGCTATTTTCTTTAAAAAAAAATTCTAGCATTTGAGAAAATATGAAGAATTTTAAACGTTGTTTTGTCTTTTTTTACGATGACCTGCTATTTTTGGAACTGGGTAGCTTTTACTTGTGAGCTTCTTGCCAGTTTTTAATAGTTATGGCCGTATTTTCAGCTGCTTTCTGGCATACGAGTCTGCTGCCGTACGAGGGTCGTTCAAAACACCGTTAATCTGGGATGGTTTCGTCCTGGAAATTTTTTAGCCACCATTTTTTTTTTTAATGATCATCATGTTGTACCCATCCTCGCCGACACTTAACTATGCGTGTCAGTTCCGACCGAACCATTCCCGTTACTCCTGAAACAGAGAGTTTCACAACAGACCTGATTTTGCGACCCCCATTTTTATGCCTGACCCATGATAAGAGGTGAACCCTTTTTGTGAGCTCATGAAGGGTCGAACGCATTTGAAAATAATGACACTGCGTGAGGACGGTTGTTAACAATGCCCATGCAAAATTTCGACATTGAATTTTTTGTTGATTCAGAATTATTGACGAAAAAGCATGGCTGGTACGTGCCAACGAACTTTTGAGACACCCTGTATACATATATTCCACTGCTCAGTGTTCAGCTACCTTCCTAGTGTCACGTTCAACATCGCTGAAAAAAATGGTTGTTGAATACGGCGACTGCAGCTGTCATCATTCTTCTCTTCCCAAAGCGATGCTAAAAGCCATCGATCTGCATACATTGCAGACGGCTGACTTTTGCAGCATTGCGCAATCTGGCATCTGAGATGATTTCGTGACATGACGCCTGTCATTGGTATGTTTCTGATACTGCAGTCGAGTAACTGCAATGCATTACTGCAGTCGAGTAACTGCAATGCATTGACGGTTATTGGGGCGCATGGCAACAGCAGGATGCCTGCTCGCTTCTAGCAACCGTTGTGGAGTTTGGTCCCTTTGCAAGCTCAAGGCTACGCCGGTATCAGTCACGTATTTAGGACGATATTGCAAATCTGACTGAGTGGACGTCAAGTGCTCTGAGCCATATCTCGAGTATACGAGCGCTTCGTAGCGTCCTCCCTCCGTGGTGTTCTACTTTTTGCGGTTTGTTCCACTTCGATGTCACTGCGTACCCCATATGAAATCCATGACGTAAACGATGTAACCCGACATTCTTTTTTCAGCTCTGAGGCTTTAAGGAAGAACCAGGAGCTGGAATTCGACCGCAATAGCGAACGATTCCAGTTCTTGAAGGTAAGCCGTTCGGTTAAGCTACTGCTCGTATTTTATCCGCTCGTATTCCCCATATTACTAAACGTGTACAGATTATTTATGAATCGAACAATGGGCACCCTATTTGGTAAATATGTACTGGAAGTAAAGCTGAACGTGTTGTATTGAGTGAAATTGTTTAACCATCTTTGAAGTACTCTCGCAAATTACTTGCCAAGCCTGACGCCTTCCCCCGGCTCTCGGGCAGTGGGGCTCCCGGGCGTTCGCCAATATGCGCGTGGTGCCGCCCGGCTCCGGTATCGTGCACCAGGTCAACCTAGAGTACCTGGCGCGCGTCGTGTTCGACACGGACGGCCTGCTGCGACCCGACTCTCTGGTCGGCACCGACAGCCACACGACCATGATCAACGGCCTGGGCGTGCTGGGCTGGGGCGTGGGCGGGCTGGAGGCCGAGGCTGCCCTGCTCGGCCAGCCGGTCACCCTGCGGCTGGCAGAGGTGGTCGGCTACAGGATCACCGGCCAGGTCAACCCGCTGGCCACCGCCACAGACATCGTGCTCACCATTACCAAGGTGGGCGGCGAGCGAGGAGTTTTGTTGGCCGGATGAGAATTGGAGGTTGATTTGTGGGAGCGTGAGGCTGTTGGACAAAGTGACTTGCAAGCTGTTGCGGTCATGGAATGTTTGTGAGGCATTTGTCACAGCTGTATGCACATGAGTTACCAGTATTTACTGCAGCTGCGTGAACCATTGTCCGCTCATGAACTCCCCTCTCCGTTTTTCCGGCAGCATCTGCGCCAGGTGGGCGTGGCCGGCAAGTTTGTCGAGTTTTTCGGCCCCGGCGTGAGTCAGCTGTCGATCGCCGACCGGGCCACCATCTCCAACATGTGTCCAGAGTACGGGGCCACCGTCGGATTCTTCCCGGTGGACGAGCGCAGCCTCGACTACCTGGTCCAGACCGGTGAGAGGCGGCGGACGGGTGGACGGGAGTGGCGGGAAACACACGCTCAGGGGGAGGGGAGGGGATATCGTGGCACTGGGCTCGTTGGAACGCCGAAGCGATTGGCTCCGAGTTGATCTTGAGAAGAGTGGTTAAACAAATGACAGATAAAACTAGCTTTACCAGTTGAGCCGCGTTCTGTTTGCGGAATGCTAATGCCTCTTAGCTGTGAAAACAACGCCCGTGAGGAGTTGACATCACGTTTGGGTTCTGCTCCGATAAGCCGGTATCGCTCTCCGATGGCGATGACCTAGGTGTGTCCGGTATGGCGTGCGGCCGGCGTCGCTCGGTGCCACGCGGCCGATAAGACAGGCGGGTGGGCCGGCGTGGTTTCTGACCGCCGACGGGCGCGGTGTGTACGCACCGCGCTCGGCACAAGGCATTAAGTTCAGCTTCTCATCTTCATTGAGAATAACTACATGTTTTTTTTCAGAAAGGTCGGCCGCTCACGTGTCTTTTCCAGGACTTTGTCTGGCTGTCAATCCCAATATGGCTAGGCACACAGATCTGACGGACCCGTCTGCCTTTTCCGGTGTACTAACTCTCTGCTCCCCTTTGGAGTTAAACCATGTCTGCATGGAAAAGGGGCAAAACTTGCAGCACGATTCCACTGGCTTTGGTGGAACACTGACATGATAAAGATTGAGGACCTCCAGGCTCTGAGCTGATCTTGAAGGGCGGTTAACAAATAAGAGAAGCAGCTTTATCAATGGTGCAGTGCAGCCTCTCGTGTCTGCGCTACAGTCCCCTACCTGTAACCACCCGACCCCTCCCGTCCCGGTATGCCGCCTCAGAACCAGTCTCTCTGTCTGACCCGCCTCTGATCTCCATGCTATTCCCCTTTGTGGGCCGAGACGCCGACCTTGTGGCGGTGACGCGCCCCGTCCCCGCCTCTGAACCCCTGTCTGCCCGGTTCCCAGGCCGTGTCGCCGGCCGTATGGCGGTAATTCGCTCCTCCCCGTCACCGACGCCGGCTCTGACCCCCCCCCCCCCCCCTCTCCCGTCCCCAGGTCGGGACGCGGGCCGCGTGGCGGTGATGCGCGCCTACCTGTCGGCCGCCGGTCTGCTGCGCGACTACTCGGCCGCCGATCAGGACCCAGCGTTCTCGCAGGTGGTCGAGCTCGACCTGGCCACTGTGGTGCCGTCGGTCAGCGGGCCCAAGCGGCCGCACGACCGGGTGGCCGCCAGCCAGCTGAGGGACGACTTCACCAGGTGTCTGCCGGCCGAGGTGAGGCCGGCCGGAGGTGGGAGGAGGAGGGGAGGTCGGAGACGGGGCACGAGATGGACAGATGGATGCGCAATGGGCGACGGAGGGTGGCCGCAGTGTGAGAATTGTTGGAGGCTGCTTGGTAGGATGATATTTTGATGGTTATCTATAAAATCACAGTTGCAACCAAAGTCACATTAAAGTTAAAATTGGATCAGATTCAAAGCGTCCAATACCCGAAGCACGTTCTGTCAGGCTGATCGGCCGGAACCACTGCATTATGCTGCAGGCTGCCGATGGTTCAGCTGCAGTCATGATACCGGACCGGATGCCTGCCTCTGACAGTATCTGAATATGGTGACCGACTATTTCTGTTTGCGCTCGGCTGCGCTCTGAGGTACCGGACCGTGCACGGGGTCTGTCGAGTCTACCCCGACTGACTCCCACCCCGCCCCGCGTCCGTCAGGTGGGCTACAAGGGTTTCGGCGTGCCCGCGGAGCGGCTGGAGGCGCGGTGCGACATTCAGTTCGAGGGCGCCACCTACAGTCTGGGCCACGGCTCGGTGGTGATCGCCGCCATCACGTCCTGTACCAACACCAGCAACCCGAGCGTCATGCTGGGAGCAGGTGAGAGAGTAGCGACACCAGCACCATCATCAATAATATCACCAACTAATAACATCGCCTGGTAGTAAGAAGTAAGCACCATTCCAGTTGAACAACCCGAGGCATCTTCAAGTGCCTTTCCATTTTTGGACTTCGAATACAGGAAGTCCACCTGGTTTGACGGTAGTTAGGTGTTCAGTACCCGTTAGCTACAGGGTCCTCCTGGCGTGTCTCACACCCTACCGCCCCCCCCCCCCCCGCTCACCCCCCCCCCCCCGCTGCGCCAGGTATCCTGGCCAAGAAGGCGGTGGAGCGCGGCCTCTCGGTGCCGCCCTGGATCAAGACGTCGCTCTCGCCGGGCTCCGGCGTGGTCACCCACTACCTGCAGGACAGCGGTGTGCTGCCCTTCCTGCAGCGGCTCGGCTTTGGTATCGTCGGCTACGGTTGCATGACGTGCATCGGCAACAGCGGGCCGCTGCCCCGACCCGTGGTGGACGCCATCGAGCAGGTACATACGGGCGGGGCGCAGCGTGCATAGTGGATTGGTCGGTCGTCGGTTGTTTCTGCTGATGCTGTTCGTGTTTGTTTCCCTTTGGATTAATAACGAGATCGTTCGTACTTGTATCGATCCGGTAGCAAGGTTTGATGCAAATTAGATATACTTTAGCGAGGGTGGGGACAGTTTATGGCGACGTTCCGCTAGTTGGCGTGTGTTTCGCCATCAACCATGCTCCATATCTCTCGGCAGTCCGTCCCGCTGGCTCTCCGCTCGTCTCACCCCACACACGCCTCCGTACACCCACAGTGTAACCTGGTCTGCTGCGGCGTGCTCTCCGGTAACCGCAACTTCGAGGGCCGCGTGCACCCGCACGTGCGCGCCAACTACCTGGCCTCGCCGCCGCTGGTGATCGCCTACGCGCTGGCCGGCCGCGTCGACATCGACTTCGAGACGACGCCCATCGGTGAGGGGCGGGGTAGGAGCCGGGGAGAAGCCAGGGCGTAAGCTGATGGCATAGTGAAAGCGGCGGGATGGTGACCGTTTTATTATTTATGATGACAGATGTGAGCGTTTACGAGCTCTCTTAGAACGGCCCTCGGTTCACCACAAGCACAAACAGCCTTTAGGCCAGTTCCTAAGCTTCTGCCGCTCAGTGATGAAGGCGGTGTCCGCTGACGACTGTGTCCGCTGACGGCGGTGTCCGCTGACGACTGTGTCCGCTGACGGCCTGTGTGCCCGCGCCCCAGGCACCTCCCCCGACGGAGAGCCGGTGTACCTGCGCGACATCTGGCCCACACGGGAGGAGATCCATCAGCTCGAGTCCAAGTCGGTCATACCGGCCATCTTCGCCGACGTCTACTCGAAAATCACCAAAGGTATGATGACAGGCTCATGTTTCTTTTGAAATCACGTCATTGTGGTTGAATATTCCATGGGATGATGGCGTCGATGTGTCTTTTTCACGAGACGTTTCATGTATGAATTATTTTGCGGTTCGAGTACCGCTGCTGTATAACATCACAAGTGGGATGAGTGTCGCATAAATTATGGCTATGGCACGGCGCGATTCTCCTATCGTACAGTGGTCCGTTCGTTGAAAGTCAGCTGACCCCTGGCTGTTCCCGTCTGGGCAGGTAACGCCAGCTGGAACGCGCTGGAGGTGCCCGACTCGGCCACCTTCCAGTGGAGCGACCGGTCCACCTACATCCAGATGCCCACCTTCCTCCAGGGCATGACGCGGGTGAGAGACGGCGCAGAACTGTCCTGGCGCTGCCAAATGCCGTGTCGTGTGTCGGAATAAAATGTCAAATGTCACCTTGAGTGGCTACTGTGAGAACCGTCGGCGAATGACAAAAGTCAAAACGTGACAGTGACAAAAGCAATTAAATAGCAATACAAAAGTTGATCGTATTACGTTCATCTACCTTATTTACCCACCTTCCTCTTGTGAAGACGTTAGCCTGTTGCACCCCGCTAGTTTTGCCTCCGCCGGCCATCCTTGTGACTCGTTACCGTTACCCTCTGTACAGGCTCCGCCGGCGGTGCGGGGCATTGAGGCGGCGCGCGCTCTGCTGGTGCTCGGTGACGCCGTCACCACCGACCACATTTCACCAGCGGGCAGCATCGCACGCACCAGCCCGGCCGCCCGCTACCTCATCGAGATGGGGTGAGTGAGAGGGTCCGCCTACTAATTCGGCTTTAGATATGGGAAAGATCTTAGCAGGCTTTTCTCGCATTTTCGTCCGAAATTTAGCAAATCTACTTTGTGTTTCACCATTCGATTTGAATTCTAAACAACTGAAGTTTCAGCGCTGTTTAGTTTTTATTATTACTGCTCTCGATTTTGCTGTTGTCGTGTCGATCCTCTTTGATTGACAGCGCTTTGTCATAGACATCAACTCGTTCCTAACCGCTCCGCCTCTCCGTCTGCGTCAGTCTGACGCCGCGCCAGTTCAACTCGTACGGCTCGCGGCGCGGTAACGAGGCGGTCATGGTGCGCGGCACGTTCGCCAACATGCGACTGGCCAACGGGCTGCTGGCGGCGCCGGGGCCGCGCACCGTTCACCTGCCGTCCGGCGCCGTCCTGGACGTGTTCGACGCGGCCCAGCGCTACCGGCGCGACGGCACGCCGCTCATAGTACTGGCAGGGGCCGAGTACGGCTGCGGCAGCTCCCGCGACTGGGCCGCCAAAGGACCCGCACTGCTGGTGAGTCGGGAGGGGACGGCTGTGGGAGACCCGCCGGGACTGGGCCGCCAAGAGACCCACTGCTGTTCAGTCTGGATGGAGGGAGGGAAGGAACGGGTGCCCCAGAGGCTGTTCAGCCTGGCCCGGGGAAGGGAACCGTCCTGACTTGTCATTCCATCCGTTCGCTAACTCTCTCTCTCTCTCGCTGCGTGCTCCGCCGTCTGACCGTCCGTCTCTCCGGCAGGGCGTGCGGGCGGTGCTGGCGGTGTCATTTGACCGCGTACACCGCAGTAACCTGGTCAGCATGGGCGTCTTGCCGCTGCAGTTTCTGCCCGGACAGTCGGCCAAACAGCTGGGACTCAGCGGACGGGAGACCTTCAGTATAGCACTGCCGAGCGACCTCGCACCGCGGTCCACAGTCACAGTCACGGTGAGATGTAACACTCGATCGAACCACACCACCCACACTCCACAGTTGGGTAACGGTCAGTCATGTGAGACTCAAGCCGTCAGAGGCATACCCTGAATAAACGCTACCGTTCCCAGTGACGGTCAGTGTCAGAGATCGCCCACCGTTTGCCTCTGCCTCTCACCGCCTTCTCAATGTTTCCCGCCACCACACACTCTACAGCTACCTCTAACCCTCCCCTCTCCATTCCGGCAGACGGACGACGGCCGCAGTTTCCCGATGACGGCCCGACTGGAGACGCAGACGGAGATCTCCTGGTACCGGCACGGCGGCCTCCTCAGGTACATGGTGCGCCAGCTGCTCTGACGAGCCGCGCGCTGCTAGGCTGCGCTACACACGTCACAGGCAGGCCCGTGACAAAGTGTGACGCCCCGTGACACACTGTGACGCCCGTGACACTGGTGATGACGTGTAACGTGTGGTGACGCGCTGACGTCGCCCAGTGCCATCAGCAGTTGGCGACGGATTAGTTCCAACAGCCGCAGAGGCAGGCACATCCCGTCCGTCTTTCCCCGGCCAACGGTTAGGGAGGGCTATGACCACACCAAACTCTCAGAGACAGGGAACAGAGGGCGCTGGCTTGACATGGAGTGAGATCGGGGCGCGATGCGGGGCGGGCCAGGACGTGTGAGGGAGTTGTCACTATGCACACAGCCATTGCCGAGTTCAGAGGCTAGGTTGGGCGGGACCCGGACGGCCAGTGGACAGTGGACACGTAAGACGAGACACCGGCGGTTACGATAGGGGTGACACTGGCACGGGGAGACATTGGCGACAGGACGAGGGGAATATTGATGGAAGGGAGAGGGAAAAATTGGGTGGAGAACCAGACAAGATTGACGGGAGGGCGAGGGGGAGATTGACGGAGCGGGAGATTGACGGCGGGATAAGGAGAAGATTGGCACCGGGAAGAGTCGTCAGTGGACAGGCCAGACCTTCACCGGCTAGGGCTGCTGTCCCCTGCTGACGTGCAGGCATACGTTACCATCCAGGCAGCGAGTATTACTGCGTGAACTGTGAACCTGTTCAGGACTTCTCAGCTGCGCTCATAGCAGTCCGCGGATTTCACCAGGGACCAGTACGGGCGCCAGCCGGTCCGACACATCAGTATCAGACTTGTGTGAGTGTATGTGCTTGTGTGTAAACGTGTCGCTAGTGTGTTTTGCGAGGATGTAAACGCGATTTTGTGCCATCGATGAGAGATAATTAGTTTGGCGAGTGTCGTTGGACCAAGGCGGAAGGTATTTTGTCCGGTCTTGTGCGAAGTGAAGGAGCTGGCCTCGAGTTTTGTCCCTATGTTGCGTCACCCAGTGTATCCGTGTACTTATGTGGTGAAGTCTTCTGCAGTTGTTAAGTTTTTGACCGATGCCTTTGATGCTGCCGCGTTTGATTTGTATCATATTGCTCGGTGCCTTTCATTGTACCGGGCGCGCTGGAGGAGCGCCGTGCCGGCTGCTGCCACTAAACAGGTGCTGTATCCGAAATGTGACCGCGGTGACTGGTGAGCTGCCTGTGGTGTCGGCGTTCTGTCGGATTTGGAGCGTCGGTTGCGGCCTGTCCCGATTCGCGGGGGACGGGCCGGGCTCCGCGTCGGACCGAGTGTATCAGCTGGCGTCTGAGCGCACGGCGCCGCAGCTGCCCCGCTCTCTCCGTGTGCGTCTGTGTGTCTGGTAGAATATATTGGTGACTGCTGCACTGCATTAGTATCTGTGATGGCTGGTCGGATGATGCGTGAATCATTGTCGAGTCTCTGTGGCACTCAGACTGGAGCATCGCACTGCCAGCTCGACAGCTGATATCGTTCTCTATTTCCCACTACCGATAACAGATTTTGTGCTTGTACCGAGTACTGGCTGTTGACCGTGTGCATCATCGCACTATCTACGGTTTACCTGTCTCGCCAACAGTTCTAACTAGTAGCCCTTCCCGAATCAAAGGGCCGAGTCCCAAGCCTATGCCTATTATGAGTCAACGGGAGCCAGGATATTTAGTCTAGGGTCACCTGGCGCCAGTCAAGTGTTGACCTAAGCCGCCCGATTGGCCGTGTTTGTAAAGGGGCCGGCAGTTCAAACTCAGTGTTTGGTCATGGCGGCTGCGATATGATTTCGAACGCCGACGCCGGCCTGCGACCACACAATCTCGACTGGGACACACGGACGTGAACGCCGACCGCTGAGAGGCCAATGGTTCCTCGACGGGTCGGGGATCCCCAAGGATCCCCCAAACAGCGTTTTACTTATGAATCATGTATTACAAATAAAGCATCATAGGAAAAGGCTGCAGTTCGCTGTAGAACCTGGATTACGTACGAACAAGCTTTGTGATTTAGGGCCGCCCCACACGGGTGCGTTTTTCATGCGGTACGGTTGCGGTGCGGCTGCCGTACGTCAGGATGCGGCACCATGCGGCTACCGTGCGGCTGCCGCACGTCAGACATGCGGCACCATGCGGCTACCGTGCGGCTATCGTACGGCATCTTGCGTCGCCATGCGTCATCCATGCGGCGCGGTGCGGCGTCCATGCGATACGGTGCGGTTTCTTGCCACGAGTCGCGGCTGACAAGAAAAATAGGTTTTAAATACAGCAACGTACGCAAAGTTAAACAAATGATGTTTTAACATATCCTCTGTTGAATTCAGAGTCTAGCTAGCCCTTTTTCATGGTGAACTTTGACTGCTCCTAGTCAAAATATGTCAATCTGTGAGATGCTGTCCACAGTGCCGTGCGTCGCGTTGCGGAAAGTAGAAATGGTTCCTACTTTCCGCAACCCACCGCAAGCTGTCAGCCCATCAGTGCCCACACTCACTTTCGTCACATCGGTAGCCCGTCAATAATATTGACCCTAATCACCACTAGTGGGTAACTTTAGAGCCCCTATTGAACTATCGATCATGAACTGATTACAGACATGCCCGAATATCCAGACCAGTATCGGAATGCTCCCAATGCACATGAGAGATGCACGACGTCCACTATCCGTGTCACTTGCAAAAATGAAGAGGCGTCAGGCTTGTTCTGACTGCAATAACTAGGCAAATATTGAGCCGATTGCGCTGTAGCTTGGGATGTCGGTAGACATGCACACCAAATTTTCATACATCATGGTTGGGAAACTACTGCACATGCGCACGTTCAGGGTGCCAGCTTAACCCGCGCACCGACGGGGGTTTGCGCCAACTTCGTACCGACGGGGGGGGGGGGGCGGATGACCGCCCCCCTGAGATCTCGAGAACGAAGCAAGATAGCGACAAGCGGTAAACGGCATGGGATACGCACGGACAAGGTCTACAATTTTTACAAAGGTCATTTTCAGGTCAGGTCAAAGATGACCGCACAGGGGTCAAAAAAGTCAAAAGGCGGCGCTAGATATGGAGAGAGTTTTTCTCAAATAACTTTCGAACTAAACAAGATAGGAACAAACTAAGGGCATCATCGTGATCCTCTCGTCAATCCGCATCGAATGATATATATATATATATATTATATTGTATACATATATATATATATTATATATATATATATATGTATATATATATATATATATATATATATATATATATATATATATATATTGACCTCGAAAGGTCAAGGTCAACGGTTGACCTCAGGTCACGTGACCTCGAGGTCATCATGCATATCATTCGATGCGCCTTGACGAGCTGAACACAATTAGACCATCCGCGCGGCTGTATCTTGTTCCTGTACGGAGTTATTGACAAAAAAAAACTTTTTTTATTGGCAAAAAAACGCCAAATTTCGCCCCGCTATCTGCGAAAAACCTCAGGGGGGGCGGATATCCGCCCCCCGTCGGTGCGCGGGTTAATATCTTTAGAACGGCTGCGCCCATGACCCTCAATTTGATACGTACATGTATTGTTATGGAGCCGATTAGCAGGGCGCTGTGCAATGCAACCTCTCGGTCGGCGTTTTTTTTTGTAGGGTAGCTGCATCTCGTCTACGAAACATCGGACTACTCTCGATGCATATGGATGACTTCAAATGCACGTGCCATGTGAGGAACGAAGAGGCATCAAGTTTATTCCATTATACAATAACTCCCGTGCCTAGGGTCCCTTGACCTGCCCTCCGAGGTCACTGAGACCTTGGTACCGCTGTCTGCAAGCCACTTCGTATGACATTCATGACTACAAATGTCGTTTGGGGTCTCTTGACACGATTGAATTATTGGTATCAAACTGTTGCAGCATAGGTACCAGTAAAATGCCCTTTGGGCGACAAACGAGCGAGCGAAAGGGCGAGCCTTGCACGTGTGGCATTGCGGGGGGGGGGGGGGTACTTCCGACTGACTTGTGCACTGCACCCTACTAACCGGTTTCTAGCGATGTGCCAAATGTGAGTCCAATCGGCCCAGCCGTTCTAGAGATCTGAAAGCGGCACCCTGCACGTGTGCACGTGCCAACTGGGTCCCAACTCCCAACTGACTTTTGCACGGCACCCTACTAACCGGTCCCTAACCGTGTACCAAATTTAAGCGTAATCGGTCCAGCCATTCTCGAGATCTGGAATCGATCCCTGCACGTGCGCACGTGCAGCAGCGCCCCAACTGTGGCACATGGAAAGGCATTGTCTAGTGGGTGCCTACTTGTATGCCAAGTTTCAGCGTATTTGACCCAGTAGTCACCGAGATATTGCAATGCTACAAAAGTGACTCCTCTTCGTTTTGCACGTAGCACGTGCATAAGGGGTCACCCATATGTATCGAAAATAGTCCAATTCTTGGTGGAAGGAAGGAAGCTACCCTACAAAAATTACCGCAAATGAATCGGTCCAGTGGTTGTGAAAATATAAGCTTCACAAAACAGTCTAGTCGCAAATCACAAAATACCTCACGAAATTTGCAACGTGTCATCGAAACATGCTGCAATGTGGAAGTGACCAGCCGCGAACCCGGGACCTTTTGAGTTGCGAGGCGAGTTCGCTAACCATTAGGCCAAGAAAACAAGAGGAGGGCGCCATTTGTTTATGCCGTTGCCATGGAGACGACGCCGTACGGCGCCGATGCGGCAAGCTTGCGGCAGCCGCATCTCGCCGCATCTCGGTGCATCCTGCCGCATTGAGCCGTATCGTGACGTGCCGCACCGCATCGCGACGTGCCGCATCATGCCGCACCGCGCCGCACCGCAACCGTACCGCATGAAAAACGCACTCGTGTGGGGCGGCCCTTATTGTGCTGACATACAAGAACTATATTTGTGTAATAATCACATGACTGGCATAGTTATAAAGCTGATTTAAAATCAATTGACAGGACCACCTAGAAAACCACTTAGAACATACAGTGCGCTCGAGTACACAGTTCCCTCGCCAGCCGCCGCCCCTGCCTTATTCTGTCAGAGCCTACGGTAAAAGAAGCCGCAACATCACTCACAGCTCAGCAAATCACATCACAATCTTATCGTAATCACGTCGTACAGGCCAAGTGCACATTCTCTGCACTTGGCTACTGCACTGCACGTCCACCACGAAACAAGCTACCAAACGAAGCTCGCCGCGCTGCGACTAGAGAGACGTTACGGTCGACGTCACCGGCGCCGGCATTCCCGAGGCGTCAGTGAACACGTCGTCGTTCTGGGGGTCGACCTCTGTGCCGACCGATCCGTCCAGGCTCTCGGTCCCGGCCACCGCCAGCTCCGGCTCGCCCAGCTCCCCGGTGGACTCGCGCTGCGTGAACGACGTCTCGTTGGCCGTCTCGTAGGCGGAGGGACTGGAGTGGCCCGACCTCTGGGACGCGCTGCGCTGGCGCGGGGGCGGCCCGGCCGCACTGGTGGCGCGGTGCTCGGCGTTCCGTGCGTCTGCGACCTCGTCGTCCGTTGTGCAGGGCCAGCTGATCAGGTCGGGCGGGCTGGGCGTCGTGTCGCGAGAACTTCCAGCCGCGTGGGGCTGGTGCCGAGTCCCTGGAGAAGCATGCGGAGGACCGTCGCGTCTATTCTCTCTCGCCGATGGCGCCTCAGTGTTTGGGGCTGATGGAGACTCTTTGCTACCCTTGTTTGTCCCCGGTGCTTGGGCACCGTTTCGGACTTGTGCAGGAGTCTTTTGTTTATGGGACAGCTTCCGCGCCGGAATTTCAGGGATGGCCGGCGATCCCCTGCGCAGGCCGCCGGCGGGAAGGCTCCGTCTCTGGCTGACGCCTCGCTGAAGCGGCGTTGGCGAGGGTGTGCCGCTCGGGGGCTGAGAGGCGCGCTGCGCCACTGGCGGCGGTGAGGGCCGCAGGCGAACGGACAGGGAGGTGACCGCGCCTCCGCCGTCCCCGCTGCCGAGTCTGGTGAACGGCGAGTGGGTCGAACGTCTTCTGAGCGTCACCGGCGAGCCTTCCCCGTCATCCGCCTGCTGCGCGGCCGCTGGCAGCTCTCCCCGCTGTGTCATCTCGAAGCGTCGGACCTTATCGCGCACGCTGCCCGGCCTGTCGGTGCGACTGAATGGCTCCGGGGCCGACTGCTGCTCGGGTGACCGGGGGCTCTCCGCTGCTGAGCGCTCCAGCTCGCGCACCCTCTGCCGGATGCTGCCGGGCCGGCCGGTGCGGCTTAGCACGGACGACGGAGACGAAGGCGGCGTGGTCGGAGAGTCGAGAGCACGTTGCCCCGTCGCGGGACACTCCTCGCGAGCCCTGGCCACCAGCAGGTCCGGGTCCAGTGGGAGCGGCCGCAGACTGGCACGGTCGGGCGCTGCTCTGGCGGCGGGG